ATTGTAAATAGCAAGCTAGACATGCAAAACTTTTTTTACATCATACTATTATCAAGAAAAATATGGTGAAACCTTGTTATTATGCATCAGCATTATATATTTCTTTTTATTTCATGCAATTATTGTGAAATCTTATTATTTGCTCATCAAAATGAATTATGAATTTTCCTGCTTGTTTGCCTTAATTGTTAATATAATTCGACCGCCTCATCCGCGACCATGAGCGCAAAAACGCATGCGCCATTCGAACCAAATTATTCTCAAAATAGGCTGGGAAGATGGGGACTTTCTTTCCCTCCAACATAGCTCTTTCTGGAGAAGAGAAGACCTTTCACGTCGCACCAAGTAATACCACCCCTTTTGGACGAGTCTATGTGTTTTGGCAGAATGCCAACCAGGGTTGTGCTTGAGACGGTTGAACAACATGTCATTTTAAACATTGCCCATAGTATTTATCTGGCAGTATTTATATAATATATAAATAATTAATGACAATAAATATTTTCAATTATGATCACACAAAAATGTCAACTAATAATCAATATATGAACTGTAAATTTCTAGAATATAATTAAATATTAGACAGTTTAATGCATTCATATCTAGCACATTAAATGGCATTAAAACTGCTTCAGTTTCTTGACTTACTAATCAACAGATATACAAAAACACTGCACATAACTAACCTTTATATCTTCACAACATATTAATTGCAAATCCTTATATTTCAGAACTAAATAATAATTATATAGTTCTGATATCATCATTATTCTGCTCAAAAATAAAATAAATTCTTAAAAATGAAAAAAAAAATTACTAAGCTTTAATTCAGAAGGATTCACAGTCAACTTTGCCATGTCAAGAACAAGTTTGTGCGAATAATGAAATGCATTTTTCAAGCTCTAAAACATGTCTGAACATTAGTTCATCAATTCTGTGGACAAATCTTAATTAACTGAAAGATATTTCAATCTTTTAAAAAAAAATTAACCATTTCCAAATGCAAACTTATTGACCAAAAGATATGAATATCTGAAGAAAGAAGATTAAAAGTTTTGTAATATTCATATCAGAAAACTCATTTTTTCAATGCAACTTAAATAAAGCTAATTAAAAATCCTGTATACATTAATCTATGGATGTTAATACAGCATGTGATCTACTAGGATTACAAAACCTCATTCTTTGCATTAGTTTACAAGTCACTTTGAAATGTTATTTTATTTAAGACAAATCTCACATTTTGCTGGTAGCTTATCTCTGTATGAAATGGAGGCAAATTTAAATCTGAGAGTGATCCCCAGCTAAATTATCTAGGGATGTTCAATATAATAACTATAATCTCTGTATGTGAAGAAAAAATTTTCAAGTCAGTAACATTTAAGTTCAGAATAAAATTTAATCTATATTTTTATATTTGTAGCAATAGATATTTAATTTAAAATTAGAACAACTCTAAAAATTTTAATTCTAAAGCTATCACTTTATATAAACTATTTTTTATTTCATCTTATTAAATTTCTAGTAAGAAAATAGACAAAATTAAACAGCAGCAAATTGAACTTCAATAATATTTTTTTTAACACTGTTCCCTAACCCCATAAATAATGATACTGCAGACTGCTCTGATTATTTTGAGAACTTAAGAGTTATGTAAAAAAAGAGGGGGGTGGATACTATTGTTAAAGGTAGCATTTATTTTTATTCAAAAACTTTGAAAAAATAGACATGCATTTTTAAAGAATCAGTTTTATTGCTATTTAATTCACTTTCACTTCTTAAGGAGGTTCGTCTTTGGTTGCATAAAATTATAATCCAGTGTATGTATATTATTTAGTGTCATACTTATATTGCTAAAATGAACACCCTGATGTTTTACATACATCCTGAATTACTGTATGATAGCTTCTTGAATTCATTCACTATTTGGCTATTATTTTAATTTAGCTGATTCCAAACTTTTATCATTGTACTGACTCTTGTATTTCATATTTTTTTTTTAATTTTGCTACTTAAAAGGGGAAAAAATACATATTTTTATATTAATATTCATGAGAGAAAGGGTTACAGAAAATACTCTTCCCATTCTCAACAGGTTGTAAAACATAAATGAATATATATACTAATGTTACTATAGTCAGCTCCTGATTTATTACGGTAACATTCACAATTAACTCAAAGTTAGGGTTAATCCAATGGCATTTAAAAAAACACAGAAATAAGGAATAACCATGATTATAATTCACAGAAAAATATTCCTAGCAGTTTACTTAAATTTTCAAGCAGTTTAATCTCGAAAATACGTTCCTTCAGTCACACAACTTAAAACAAGTATTCTAAGCAAAAAGAACATACTGCAAATAATGGAAGAGAATAAATATCTTCAGCAATGAAGAACTAGGATATAAAACAATGTTTATGTTTACATTACTTTTTGTATTTCTATAGGAATTAATATGAAACAAAATATTAATGACTACACTTCGAATTAATTTTTACTACTCTCGGGCTTACTTTTAATGAATGATTTAACACTGTTTACAGACATTTTTTTTTTTATGTTGATGGCTGGTAAAAGCAATTATTTCATCAACTGCAATAAAAGATTTATGCCCAAAGAGCATCAACCCAGAAGGGCTATTAATTTCATTTTGGCATTTTGCATTGGTTCACTCGAAAACAGAGTTTCACTTTTCAAATTGTTACCACAAAATATTAGAGCCATCCATTATATTTAAAGAAACTGAATAATGAAAATTCTGCATGAATCTACATATGTTTCTGACATTGTGGAAAAACAGCGGTACCTAGAGACATCAAAATTTGAATAATGTAATCCTCCACACAAATATGGACACCTGGATTTTGAATTTCAAATTTGTTTTATTATCTACTTCACATTTTGTAAAACTTAAACGAATTTTTTATTAATGGACTCAGTGATTTCAAAGCGAGCAATGGCAACACTATACAGAAAAAAAGCATTTTTTTCTCCAGCTCACGAGACTGCCTATCAGAAATTCTTAAGATATGTTCTTTTTAAATGTTTTGTGATATTGCAGTTGAATTGAATTTTATGGTTTAAGTGCGAAGAACATGACATTTAAAAAATAAAGGTAACACACAGTGGGGCATAATATACAATCTGAAAGCATTCAGATTTTATTGATTTTTATATTTTATTTATTATCATACAAAGCTTAGTTAACCTGCTTATTAATTGGAAGTAGACTGCATATTATATACAGTGCAACCTTGATCTATCATTTTATAGTGAGATGGAGGAAAAATGTTTAAACCAGGAAAATATTACACTATTATGCACTGTAAATAAGTAATATATTTTAAGTAATTACATTTATTACTTTCAACATCAATATACTACAGTAAAAATTACTTATTAAAAAAGAATATCTTGTGCTTTTTGTCTGATATTGTCTTAAATGAAAGTATGACTTTTCAAAATTTAAAATGTGTTCAAGTTCTGTTTCTACTTTGTTCACAAAAAATTCTAACATTCTGTAAAAATTCTTAAATCTTATTGGGGCTTGGCACAATTTCTTGTAAACCTTTATCATTTTCCTTCACACTTGAAGCACAAACTAAAAGCTAATCCATAATCACCTAAAATCTAATAAATGTAAACAAATGGAAACTATAAAAAAGAAATTTATTGCGATTTGCAAAGAAATAGGATTCAGAAAATATACCTATAAGCAGACACTGAGCTGAGAACTTGTACAAAGCATTATTCTGTTGCAGGATTTAGAGTCTAAAGAGAAGGTAACACAAATAATATATACATATTTAATTTCATTTTTTTCCCCAAAATGATCCTTGTAGAAAATGCTTCACTAGAAATATGATTTATATGTGATTAATGTGATAAAATGATAATTTTGGAAAGGATGATTATAGAAATAAATAACATCATTTGTATAAAACTTCATGTGGAATAAAAATATAAAAATGTCAAATGAAACATGCAAGAACGATAGATCAAGATTTCACTGTATTTCAAAAAAGCCAATTACAGTTCCACCCCCCCCCCTTTGATGCTACTCTTCTTATTACCACATTGTTTGTTGCTATCTATCTCAAGGATAACATGTACAGAGCATCTTGTTAGCTTATAATTTAAATCTGGGCTCTCTTAATGTTGGCAAACAAAAATACATTTTCAAGGATCTAAAAATAAAATTAGGAGTTCATTTTCTGAATTAAAAAAAGATTATGAAAATTCAGTGAATCCAAGGTCCTAAATTATCTACCATAAAAAATTTGTGTTGGGGAATGAAAAGGAAAAAAAGGGAGGCAGATATATGTGAGAAAATATTGTACAACTAAGTTCATGGAAAACTTTCCTGGCCTTAATATAGGCCCAAAACTGAAACTGATAGCATCAGTACTCAAGATATGAAAATTTTTAACAGTAATCAAAGTCATAGCATGGTATTAGTATTTTAGGTTTTACTGCGAATCTAAAGAATAAACTATTTTTTAAATTTGAAAATTGTTTCAATTTAATTAAATTTTAATACTATAAGCCATTTTGTATAGTTTTAACCTGCATTTATGAGATTTAAATTTTTTTTACACAAATGCTGCATTATAAGAATTATAAATCTGTCATATAGAATATACAATACCAATTTACGTGAAAATGAAACTAAAATGTCAGCATGTTCATGATAACACCAATGTTAATTTGCTTTCACATTACTGCAGGGTCAAAGACCAAGCTGAGAACATTACTTAGCACAACAGCAGAATGGAAATATATTAAAATTCTCTAATGGATATGAAAATTTAACAAATATTTAAATTTAGCATTTTACTAATTTATGGATTAAATATGATTTTTGTTATTAAACAAATTATCACCTCATGGTTTACAAATATACACATTTACCATTTTATAACCGATCAATCAGCATCTTTATATACACAAAAATGCATAAGCATTTGATTGACAACAGTTAGACACTTTGACAGTTAAGAAAATTATGAAAAATACTGTTTATTACTGTTACCCATATATAAGAAATATACAAATATGATAAAAATATATTATATATTGGAATGTAAATTTAGCAATAAACTACAATTAGATTTTGCAACAGACAGCATGCTATACAAGCATCAATAGATGTAAATTTCTTGTAACTTAACAGAAATAATTATGCTAAAAATAATCTAATACAAATGGCTCAAAAGACGATTACAAAGAAGTAAAATGTTACATTTGTCCATCTTAAAAAGAGCATCTTATAAGGCTTACAGAATTTTTTATAACTAAAAGCACCTAATGATATAAAAACATCCCTAGGCTTATAATTATTTATAGAAAAGTAATATATTGAGATTGGAGAACTAACAGTAATTTCTATTTTTTAAGAAGAGGAGATAAACATATATAAAATTTGAAACCTATTCTACAAAATTTATACTTGTACGTATGCAAATATACACTTGACACATAAATATATATATGTATATATAAAAGATGACTATACATAATGAATATATTGCAAATGATTATGATTCTGGCCTTCCCGCATGATATGGATGGTACAGAAAGGCGTTAAAAACTTCTTTCACCACACCCTATTGTAAAGGAAGATCGAGACAAAAAATCTGCTGAAGTCAATCAGATCTGCTTTAAAAATCTTCTCAGCAGTTGCCTAAAAATATAAAATTACCTCCATAAATATAAATATACAAAAATTTAACTTATTTAGAAAAATCACTGAACTTGTGATTTCTTTTTTTCTATTCATAAATAATATAGTTAATTTTTAAATGTACATGTACTAACTACATAGTTGCCTTACAGAAATAAATGAATCCCATTTACAATTCTTTCCACAAATAAATTAATTACACGTTATTCTGTATTACACCAAGTACAATTTTTTGCTCTGCATTATTAACAAGAACAAGGCCTAGCTAATCTACATTATCAGTTATATATTATAACAATATCATTGGTTTGATAATATGAATTTGACATTAATAAATTAATTTTTTTATAAGTAAATCATTTTCGATCATTAACAGACAATTTCTCTTAGTTTTTTTGCATTCTGAACATTGCACATAGTTTATGTTGGAATTATGGAGGAAGAGCTATGGAGTGCAGGAAGAGCTATGGAGAACCTCTTGGATCCCAATAGTCTCGAACTGATCTACAGAAATTCTGACATTCCTGCAATGGAGATAGTACTAACCCTGATTTAACTTTGGCTTAGCAGATGCGACTTAGCAGATGAGGCAAACAGAGAAATAATTTATGATCTTGGCTCTAGCCACTGCATTTTTGTTACTTCATTCCGAGTTAAGGGGAAAACCTCTAAACAACAGCATTGTTTTAAGAATAGGTGAAACTTTAGGAAGGCCAGTTGGAAAGCTTACCATAATAAATTGAGGTTCTTTTAGTAGACCAACAAACTACAGAAAAGAAAAGAAAAAAAAAAAAAAATTCGGATTCCTTCCTGTCATATTTTTGCAAGACCATTTCGTCAGTAGCTGGATACCTAGAGTTTTGTCAATAGTTGGATACCTAGAGGTAAATAATGCAACTACAAACCTTTTTGATATGATAAACACTGTTAAAGGAACAGTTGGTTCACGCCTGTTCACGCTGAAAATTCTAAAAACCCGGAAGATGTCAGAGATTAGAGAAAGAATATTACAGTCTCCGTAAAGAAATCAATTTAGCAAGTCACAAGAGTTTAATATTTATATAAATAATACTGACTACCGTAAAGACAGAGGTGAGGTTTTTAAATTTGTAAATAAATTGAACCCCGATGACCCCCTTTCCCCAAGGGTGCCGATCATTTTTAAAGGAAAGGCTTTAAAATTTGACAACTATATTTCTAATACTTTCATGAATTTTTATTCTTCTAATTAAAGTCTGAGTGGTAAACTTAAAAGAGATCATAAGCTGATGAAGAAATTGATCATGGACTTCCATAGGACTATGGGAACTGGACAAGAGATTTTTTAATAGAGACTTTGACTTTCTGGAACTAGAAGCAGTTATTTATTTCCTAAAGTTGGGAAAATGTCTAGGCTCAGATAACATAATGCATAGTTTATTAAACATCTAGAATAAAATGCTTAAATGGCCCTTCTGTTTTTAATCACAGTCTAATATTTTTAATCAGAGTTGAAACTCTTACACACTCACTATGTAGAAAAAAGCCATTATTATCCCTATTTTGAAAAAGTTAAATTGCATATAATATTAAATGCTATCGACTTATTGCATTGACTAGCATTTTGTCGAAGATTATGGAAAAGATGATAATTTCTAGACTAACTTGGTTTCTGGAGAGTTAGTCTTGGCTCCAAAACAAGCTGGATTCAGACAATATCATTCCACTGTTCATCAGGTCTCTTATGTTAATCAAGTCATTAAGGATTCTTTAGACAAGCATTTGTTCTGTCTTCACAACATTTATAAACTTTAAGTCAGCTTATGATAAAGTATGGAGACTACGTACTATTAAGAAATTACAGAACTTACGAGGAATAAATGGCAGGATTTTTCATGGATTAAGAATTTCTTACCACAGTGTTTTTCTGCCGTTAGATGTGGCTGTGACATTTCTAGATATAAACAGACTGAAACTGGCTTCCCGCAGGGGACAGTCATAAGCCCAATTCTTCTTAATGTTTTTATTAATGATTTACCGAACACTCTGGCACCGTGAGTGGATTCTGCCCTTTTTGGTTAACTGGAGTAGTGCTTCTAAAAAGAAGCAAGACAGTTTAAATGAGACTCTTAATTGTGCTCTGATAGAGCTGGAATGTTGGTGCCTAGAAAATTGCATGAGAGTAAATCAGGATAAGAGCACTTGTCAGTTCTTCACTCTGAACAGATAGCCTTTTACCACGAATTTGACATATATGGGTGTAGATTTTCAACATTATGATGCTACTAAATATTTGGGTTGCATTCTTAATCTACACTTAAATTATAGGAAACATGCAAAACATTTGAAAATAAAGCCGTGAGAAGACTGTCTTTAAACGTATAGCTGGCTCAAGGTAGCGCTATGACAGAGAGACACTGATGACATATGTTCAATCAATTACTGGTTATTGTAGCAAGATCCTCATTTAAACTCCGGAGAATGTGGCCTACATCCTCAAAATCTTCCAGAACCAAGCATTGTATATAATTACTGAGGCAGTAAGATCTACTCCTATTTTTGGAATGCAGCTTTTAACCAGTTTGGAACATGTTTATGATTTTATTGCAAGAAAAACAATACTATTATACCAGAAACTTGTGTGTTTGCCCGACAACCCTTTTTGAAGGAACTATAATAATGAAATTTCTAGAAATCTTAAAACTCAAACTGGATTTATCCAGGCTGCTTAGAATGAATCTGATCTTTGGGAATTGAGCTGAGATTATCTAATTTTACCTCCTCCTCTTTGTCCCTTGAACTTTTTGAATATAAATCTTGATCTTATACAAAGAGTTGTTAAAAAGAAAATAAGAGATTCACAATGAAGATCTATTTCAATGGAGGCTATTGGGGTTTGCTATCCTCAAAATGAATGGACGCGTGTCTACACTGATGGCTCTGTTAGAGAGAGCGTGCATTGCTGGAGCAGGCTTGTATAGTGAGCTTTTTAGTTTCTACTTACCAGTCAGCTTCTTGCTTTTGATGGTGGAATCAAAGCTATTGTTATGCCTATTAAAAAACTGTCGATTCATAGCCAATCTTCCGTAAAGGCATTCATACTGTCAGATTCCAAAAGTGTGCTTCAAGCCCTTTTGAATAATCAAAATAGTTCCTAAAAAATCTTAGACTGTAGGCCTTTGCTTTCCAATGTACACACTGAATTTCCCAACATTGAATTTCTTTCCAATGTATTCCAAACCACTGTGAAATTATAAGCAATAAAAAGCTGACACATTGGCTAAGAAAGGAATTTTGATAAAGCATTGCATTAATCAAACACTTTCTTTTCATACAACTACATCGTTTGTTAACCTGACTCTTAAAAAATATTTTTAACAGGATATGAATCAAAGTGCTATGGAAGATTCTAGGGGAAGAAAGAACCATTCCCAGTTTTCCAGGAAAAACAAAAGTGGCTCTATTTAGACGTCTGATTGGACATGACTGTTTTCGAGATCACCTCTACAGAACTGGAGTGGTGGATTACCCAAACTGAATATTGTGTTTTGTATAACTCCAACCAGCCTATGATTTTTGAATATTTAAATAATTGAATTGCACTTTCTTAATATGAGGACATTGTTAAAAAATACTGTACAGCCTGTGAACTAATGGCTTAGATGATCATGTTTGGCATTTGTAAAATAAATAAAATATTATGCCTCCTCTTTTTTACAATAGAAATGTGCTGTAAATTTTAAAAACTATCTCGGGTTCAGACAGTTTTAAAACTCCAATTACAGAGCATTATTCAACACCAGCAGTTCATTTTAAATGATAAATAACCCCTTTTGTGATTTTATGTAAACAGATTATTTCAGATGAAACAAATCAAAATAAGAAAATATAAAAAGAGTTCAATATTTTCACAAACAAGTTATGCTACACCTAAATTAAATTTAAACAGACAAATAGGAAATTAAAATAACTTACGATGATAAAAGTTTATGACCAATCTATTTTTATGTCCATCTTCAATGCTTTGTAAAGGCTGCCCTATTGGAAACATATCAAGTTTATGAAAGTTCACGTCTTAAAATATAATAGGTCAAATACATAAAATTTAAATGTACCCACAGTGTTTCTTACCACAGTTAACATTGCTTCCTAGCTTTGATTAAGTTTAGAGCACAATGAAAATCATGCATACAAAGAATAGCATTTAACGTTTTTTCACAACAATGAAATTTTCGTAATTTGTCTTTTACAAATTTTTCCATGTAGTTATGGTACAAATAGAACTCAGGAACGTCAATTCTTTGCCTTCATTAATTCATATAATTTTTAATGGAGGAAAAAAAAAACAGTTTGTGGACCAACAAAAGATATCAGAAATAAAAATCCTGCTAAAAAGGAAGTTACAGTTAAAAGCATTATTATGTATGTCTGCCAAAAACATTGCAGAGAAAACATGGTAAGGCAAAAAACATCATAAGAGAAAAGAAAAATAGTAGAAAACATGGCAGTTCTAAAACATTGTGGTACAAAACATTGCCATAAAGTGGTTCATAAACTTCGTAGGTTAAAAACATCGTCAGCAAAAATATCGTGGTAAAAAATAAAGCATCTACATATCATCAAATACTGTCGCATAGTTGAGCTTTAAAAACTCACATATTCGCATAATGATTTGTGAGTGCTGGTAGGAATGAGGAATGTTTTTATTTCTATATTTTTGAATTAACTAATATAATTTTGCTGAAAAAATGAGAAGGAAACTTCAACATTCAAAGACTGAAAGTGTATAGAAAAATAATTTTAGGTATAGCAGTCAACAGAATTTTAACTTTTTACCTTTTTTTTATAAATTTTAACCTCAGGAAAGTCAATTCTTTGACTTCATTAAATCATATTTTTAATGAAAAAAAAGAACAGTTTGTGGACCAACAAAAGATATTAGAAATAAAAATCTGGCTAAAAAGGAAGTTACAGTTAAAAGCATTATTATGTGTGTCCGCCAAAAACATCGCAGAGAAAACATGGTAAGGCAAAAAAAAAAACATCATGAGAGAAAAGAAAAATAGTAGAAAACATGGCAGTTCTAAAACACCGTGGTAAAAAACATTGCCATAAAAAATAAAGCATTTAAAAAACTTCGCAGTTTAAAAACATCGTCATAAAAAATATCGTGGTAAAAAATAAAGCATCTACAAATCATCACATACTGTCGCATAGTTGAGCTTTTAAAACTCACGTATTCGCATAATGATTTGCGAGTGCTGGTAGGAATGAGGAATATTTTTATTTTTATTTTTTTTAATTAACTAATATAATTTTGCTGAAAAAATAAGAAAACTTCAACATTCAAAGACTGAAAGTGTATAGAAAAATAATTTTAGGTATAGCAGTCAATAGAATTTTAACCTTTTACAGTTAACTAATAGAGGGTATTAATTAATTAATCATTTTTATAAAGTTTTATTGGTAATTTTCCCTGAATAACTTGGTCTAAAATGATTAAAAAAAGGAAGATGAGTAACTGCATGTGGGTTACATCTATTAAAACTGATTAATTATCAGAATTATGTTCACTGCTAAAAGTAGCATTAATTTTCTACTCATTTTCAGTTTTTGAATGTTTAAGTTTCCTTCTGAATTTTTCAAAAAAAAAAAAAAAAAAAATTATTAGTTTAAAAATATAAAAGTAAAAAATATTCCTCATTTCTTTTTGCACTCAAAAATTATTACGCAAATATGCACTTACTACTTTTAAAGCCTGAGCAACACATGCTTGCGATGATCTGTACGTGCTTTATTTACCCCAATACTTTTGAGACGATGTTTTTAAACTGCAAAGCTTTTTCATCGCTTTATTTTTGAAGATGATGTTTTCTCCTTGCTTTCTTTTCTCCCATGATGTTTTGTATAACGACTTTTCACATTGTTTGGCTTTCTTCACAATGTTTTTGCCTGTAACCTAATTATGAATATAACTGAAAACATAAAAAGGTAAACAGCAATCAGCTATTCAGCTGATTTCCTTAAGTTTTAAAAAAGTATATGTTCTCTTTCTGTATAAATTTGAGATAATAAAAGAAATTTAAACCACTTGACACAGATAGTTATAGTTTGCTTGTTTTAAACAATGAAGATAAATTCAAAACCAATTAATAAGTTTTTTTTGGGGGGGGCTTAGCTTATTGAAGAAAGCATACACGAGCTAAACTGGTGCAAGAGGTGCAATTATTAGTCAATAAACAGCAAATGTATATGTCTCCCATATTTAGCATTACAACTTATAATAAAAAGAAGTAGAAGACTACATGATAGCTTGGCAAACACAGTCATGAAAACAATAACATTATAATCGTATTATTGATGTTAGATGATGATTTGGAATGATCATGCTACTTTAATTCTCAACTGAAGGACATTTTTTTTTCTCCCCAATGGCGGGCCCTCAGCCGACTTCGTCTTGCCTACCACTAAGGCCAGAAGTAGTGGTCACTTTATTATGGAGGCACCTAACAGGTGGACCACCTTTGCCTCCTATGAAGGGATGGACTGTTACAGCCAAGCCTTCTCCAGTATTTGAACCCGAGCCCTTTGGTATTGCAGTCTGCTCCCCTAAACACTATACCATCTGGGCAGTGGAGTACATATTATTACTATTTGCCTTATAACTATTAGTTTGCGAAAAGTTTCATTTAGAATATCATTGGATAAGAAACTTCAATTTCATTTTTTTCATTAAATAAGAATATGCATTGCTCTTATTACATAATAATATGACTAGGATTAATTTTAAAATCATGCATTTTTATTTCTAAAATCAGTTTACTATTCTTAAAAGAGAGAGAAGAAACAAGGGCTATCACATAATAAACTACACATTTTTTTACATATACCGAAATGTAAAAAATAAAATAAATAAATTGCTACAGATGAAAATACACAGTAATACCAAATTCACTTGTCATTGATTATGTCCACCACAGCATATGTAAAGTAATAGATATCTATGGAAGCTTTTAGAGTTATTTTCAATTTGGAAATGGCTTTGAATTTTTACATACAAATATTTCAAGAATGCACAAAAATTCTGGCTTAACTTTTTAACTGTCATACCCGAAATAATCTCAGGCACAGACTGGTGTTCCAAAATGTCATGCTTAAGCATTACTTTTACTTTACTTTATTAATTTTTTTTTTTTTCAGTGGAACATATTATTATACCCGAATATACAGTACAAAGTCTGTAATCCGAACTCGTCAGGACTTCGCCTATTTCCAATTAGGGTTTTTCCATATTACAGATCATCAATTTAAATCTGGTAAGATGGCACGCAGAAATTGTACAATTAAAAATATGAAACCATAATTTATGAAATAAAGAGCAATTATGGGTAACAAAATTTACAAAAAAAAAAAAAAGCTTAATATTTATTTGTTTACTTTATTAAAACATTTCTTTCAATGTAAGTTGTTTAAGTTGCTTCGTTTTTTTGTGCTAATACTTTCTCTTTAATTCTATATAATATTCTAGTTTATAATTTCTTGTTCAGTTACAAAGTTACACTGTTCAAGTCCTGTAATTGCTGTGTCGAGAATACCGACTAACTTGTCAATCGAATTTTTTTCATTTTAATAATAACCTCTCTGTCACTTTCTTCACTATGGGAAGCGGTATTTTCTGGATCTAGAACCATACTACAGATTTCGTTGTCTGTTAATTAATTTATGATTGGGGCATTGTTGTCGCAATCAAAAACTTCTGTTATATCACCTTCCTTCATTACCGTTTCTCCACATTTCTTTACAAAATCCAAGAACTGGAAAATTTCACCTTTAGTTTGCGATGTCCGAAAACCTTCAAATTCGCGGATGTCATCTTCATCACATATCTGGAGACACATCCTCCCAACGCGCATGCGTAAAGCTTGTGGCCTTGAGGTCCGGATTATAGATCATTCAGGATAATGGACGTCCGGATTACAGACTTCGTACTGTATATCATGTACTGAAGTTTATTTCAGATTCACTTCAATAGATTGCAGAACTTTACTGAAGGTTTCAAAAGGTAGAGGTTTATGTTCAAAGTGTGCAGCATTTTTTTTTTTTTTTTTTTTTTTTTTGTTGCAAAATAGTATCCAGTTCTTTGAATTATTATATAGGTAATTTAGATTCTTCATCCCATACTCATCCTACTCCTGCAAAACCTGAGCCTACAAGACAGTGCAAAGTTTGTTGTTCAAAAAAGGATGAAAAACGGGAAAAAGATAAGGAAGGAAACACGATTCTTGTGTACTGATTATGGAGCTGGTTTGTGCTTGAAAAAGTTTTTCCAGGTATACCACATGAAACTGAAATACTGAACTACTAATAGGTATTCAATTTTATTTACTTCTATTTATTTATTTATTTTTTTTAAATAATTAAATGATTATTTTTATTTTTATTTTTATAAAATAATACTAAACTAGAAGCGATTACCACTGCCATGCTCAGTGGCAGCTGCTCAAGCGAATATCCCATGACTACAAAACCTTAAAATTTTTATGCATGTAATTAAAAATATCAAATTTTAACAACTAAGCATATTTTATTTTGGACTAAATATTTGATTTTTGCAATAAAAAATTGACAATTTATGTACCAATATCACCAAAATAACTTGACAGTTAAAGGGTTAACCTTCAATTTTTGAGAATAGCATGGCTATAAAAAGAGTCAAATGATAATGCTAAGTAACTTCAATAATAAACCAAATTTGCTTTTTCAGTCAAAATAGATTAAAAAAATTTTCGTCAATGTGTTTATTTGCATATACATTTAAAAAAATTATCATTAAATTTGACTTGAATTTGCAGATAATCAAAATTTATTCATTTAATTCCAAAAATGGGCACTGATAGGCATTTGTGGATCATGTGATCATATATTATCAGAATGCTTCTATAGATTATTTTTAAAACACCTTTTAAGCACTACCCAGTGATTCTTAAACTATTTTCAGTTTCAGCTTCTATATTTTACCTTTTTATTAAAAGAAATCTGATCCAATCTGACTTAATTTTTATCTACATGCATTATAAGTTTCTACAGATAAATTAAATCAAGTAAAAACAAAATTTTTACTTGATTTTCCTAGCAACACATCTCCATGTGCGACCACTTTCAGAAGAACTTGCTGCATCAGCTACTGTAGGAGCTTCTGTACTTGTAGATGCCTGAGCTTGAGAAGTAGTAGAGGAACTCATACTACTAGGAGACTGGAAAGAATTAAAAATTATATTAATTAACCATTTAAAGTTCCTATACATCAACATTTTGCTAGGATTATAATTGAAAATATAAGTATTTGCTATAAGCTTAATGAATAAACACACACACATATACTTCTCTGTTCAAAAAGTCATGTTAGTTGGTGTGATACTACAATAGCAGCAAAATTTACTTAACTAAAGAAACCTGGGTTTCTTTGATCAGAAATAGATCCTTGTCATTCCCAAACACTCTTATTTACCATATTTTTCTCACCATAGTGTTCTTTCTTACTATGGTGGCTCTACTGGTCAATATTTTCAGATAACTCAATTAATCCAAAATGAAATGGCAGTTAGTCTGTGTCAAATAGAGTTGGACTGTTTGTTCTGAAACAAATTCAAAGAACCATTTCACTTTACTGAGTGAATGAACAGCAATTTCATAAAATGAAGTGGTAGTTCTTTTGCAGTTCATGGAGAGTTCTTGTTGGAAGCACATCAGAAAAATAGATGTGCTATTAGTTGCCAAACTGAGTTATTTCATTGAGTGAGCAAATACCTTATAAGGTATTTCTCCTGCCTTCCTAGCGTACCTTCATAGTGCAGTGGTTCTGCACGCTGAGTCGGTATTCCAGAGGTCCGTGGTTCGATTCCCGGCAAAGGCGTTTGCTAATTTTTCATCACTCCTACTTTAACAGTAATAACCTAATGTCTCTACAACCTGATTTGAGAAAAAAACACCAGAACTCTTTTAGAGTTCACTTAACAACATCTCTTGATGGAAGCAAGCGATGATACCTATTTTAGGAGAGAAAAGAATGTTTATTTTCCTATGCTGAAAGGGAGTTTAGTTTCTATCATTTACCAGTTTAAAATATTTTTTCTTAGTCTAGAGTTTTATTATTAGTTCTATGTAGAAAAAAACCTTTAGAGAATCTCAACACTGCAATGCAAGTTATCAGTTCAGGGAATTAGTGTTTGACTGAGTCAATTCTTCTGGCCCCCACTGCTCGTTCAATTCCTTTCACTCTTCGCTCCTACTGTGCTGTCTTACAACTTGTTCAATTCTTTCTTCTCTTCACTCCATTCTCACTAACAGATCAATTCATGCCTCATTTCTGATGTTTTTCTGTAAGATTAATGCTAGTGAATGGCGAGTCATGAAAACTAACTTGCTCGGTTCAGTGAGTGAACAGTTTTGGTCTGATCTCATAAAAGTGTGGTTTTGCCCATTTCCAGTGTTAAATACCCAAAAAGGCATTCTCTGATGCTTTCAGCAATGTCAGAAAATGCTAGAGCAGGTGTATGTATTACTTTGATAATGCCTAAGTAATATCTTTTTACATCTGAAAGAGATCTGTCCTAGAAGCATTACGATAAACTTTTTGAATAGAGAAGTATAATCAAGATTCTAAAAAATTCTGATTTTCCCTTGTATTATTTCTTCTTTCCCCGTATTAAAAAAAAAAAAAAAACAACAACTCACAATTGCAGTCGTTAAAGGTGGTGCTGGAGGTGATGTGTATCCATATTTCATTAATATTTTTTGTCTTCTTTCCTCTCTTCTCTCAGCTATAGCTTCAGCTGTCAATGGTGGCTTTTCTACTTTTCTGTTTGCTTGAGTATTGCCTGTAGGGTACAATATATGCAATTAAAAATTGTTGCACAACAATCAAGCAAAATGAGTTTGGAAACAGTATAATACTGCAGTCCAGTTATGAACATATATGATCCCAAACAACACTAAGAAAGAAACAAGACATTTTTTCCTTTTTATATACTAAAATATTTATAGACAGACATAGATCTCTTTCAAGTAGTAGCACAATATAAATATAAAAATTTATGTTAAATTCCTCAAAACAATAATTCATAATATTAAAATGAAAACATACAGTATACCGAAATGGAATAAGTACAGTCTCAAAACAAAACAAAAAACAAAAAAAAGGGGGGGGGAAATCTGTAAATAATTTAAATAGTTTATGTATGGATGTTATATGTTAGGTGTAAAATGTTAATACAGTCAAAAGTCGTTAATTCGGACACCCATAATCCGGAATGATCTATAATCCGGACATCAAAGCTGCAAACTTTCTGCGCATGCGTCGCGTTCACGCATGCGCACAGGCGTTTACGAGAGCGCATAAGACCCTTACGGCTGCGAATATGTTTGTGCGCATGCGCGTTTAATGTGTAACGGAGTTATACGCTAAGCTAAAGTTATCTAATTCAGTTAATGTTGCGTTGTTCCTTAATCTTTGAATTGGATCCGGCTTATTATTTTTTGCAGACTGTTAGAGCAATTTTATAAAAGTAAGCTTGAACTTTCGATTATGTCAAATAGAATTTCCGATATATATTTACTACAAAGCGAAAGTATGTTTTGAAATCCGAAGTCTGTTTATCAATTTCACGCTGCTCTGCGGCAGAGGGGGGGGGCAGAAACGTCATTATTAGATTATGATAGATTAGAAAGATTATGTCAAATAGAATTTCCGATATATCTTTACTAATATGTAATTTGTATCTACAAAGCGAAAGTATGTTTTGAAATCTGAAATATGTTTATCAATTTCACGGGGCGGATTGGAAGTTGATCTGTCAGCACTATCCTTATCTTCAGGGCAGATGTTTTTATTTTATTTGGTTTATATTTCCATACTAAGTGTAGTATTTCATCTCGAGTCTTTGATATGATTTAAATCAAGTTCCTCGTCATTATAATTCGCTTCCGATAGTGAAGAAAGTGACCAGAGGTTATTGAAAACGAAAACATTTCGATTGACAAATTAGTCGGTATTCTCAAACAAGCAATTATAGGACTTGAACAGCGGAACTTTGTAACTAAACAAGAAATTATGTCTGTTTAATAGAATTAAAGAGAAAGTATTATCACATGAAACGAAGCAACTTACATTGAAGGAAATGTTTAATAAAGTAAACAAATAAATATTAAGCTTTTTCTTTTTGTAAATTTTGATACCTTGATACCTTGATAATTTGATCATAATTGTTCTTTATTTCATAAATTACGGTTTCATATTTTTAATTTTGTAATTTTTGCATGCCATCTTACGAGATTTAAACTGATGATCTATAATCCGGAATCGCTGAAGTCCCAAAGAGTCCAGATTAACGACTTTTGACTGTATTAGTAAACATAACAATAATAAAATGATCTAACAACACTATATACAAGTAAATATGTAAATGAAGTTTAATACAGTAGAAGTCCAGAAATCCGCAACGCTTGGGACCAGAGATTCTGCGGATTTCAGGACAGAAAAGATAACATTTAGACTAAAAGTGCAAAATAAATAAGGCGTATTTAGATACATTTAATTGAATTATTATATACATTAATACAATAATTAATTATATGCATTAAATTATTATTACATATATAAACTGATTATATTATATTGTTCATTTACATTAGGCTCATCTATTTTTAAATCAGCATGAATCTCCTTCCCCTTTTCTCTCAGGAGTACAGGTTAGGCTTGGCGCGGGCTTGAAATAGATACCCCATCACTCCGCCGCTGCCAGAACCACTCGTACAAGACAGCATTGAAGTTTGCCGTTTTCGCCTCATGTAAAGATTTCCAGTTTCAGACTCCGATGTTAGAATCACTGTTGCTGTAAAATTTCAAACATTTTCTTTATTCATATCATATACGTCCCTGTGGCAATTCCATACGATTCTGCTATAAACCGAGCAGTAGCACCTGCCTCCAGCTTTAGCAGAATTTCCACTTCTTTCATTACCGTCAATGCAACGTGTTTAGATTTTTCAACGTTGCAAGCAGTAAAATCATGAGTGCGTTTCTTATCTGTCATTGTATTAAACAGTGATGAAATTTAAAATATTCTTAATATATTCACAAAATATCGGGATAAAAAAAAACGACATTACTAAACAATCTCGTGAAATAACAAAGCTCAGAAAGTACAACGTGAAGCATGAACTTGAAAGAAGAGTTGAGCTAATTGTCAGCTTTTTTACCTCAATGCAGATTGGAGGAGAAAAAACTCTTATCATGATGTCAATAATTTGGTATTTCCGTTATGACTCATTATTATTTGGTAATTATGACATCATTACCCAGTAAGTATTTTTCTTCGATATTTTGTACACCATGTTGCGGTTTCCAGAACCTATAAACTAAATGTTTATATTTTGAGAAGCAAAGCGGATTTCAGGGAGTTGGCAGATTTCAGGTCGGCGGATTTTCGGTATCTGACTGTACAAATATTGCTAAGATACTGAAAAGTACTAAATTTACATTCGATTTGATAGTCTGTGTCTTTTGAACTGCAGTCACTTTGTAAGAATAAGTTTTTCATTATTTTTTAATGTTAATTTTAAATACATTTTTCAATTAAAGAAATAATATTTCACAAATATTTATATACAATAATACATAAATTGGAACTGTTTTGTTATCGGGATCAGACTCAGATATTGCCAAAAGTTGATGATTTGGTGAAAATTCGAAACATGAAACTGCAGATATCGTTTAAAATGGCAGAAAAGATTTGTGTTTTAAGATGCTACTGCCACCACATTAATTCAAATAAGAATCTAATTGGTTATGTTCAGTGTTGTGTTGAAGTCTATTTCGCACTGTCCCATAACCTTTCATAAGTTTGAGCATGATAACTAGTATCGGGATTGATAAAATTTTACTTATGGTTAACGAAGATATCTTCAAATCCAGATCTTCACATCTCCATTCTGGTGCTTCTTTTGAATTGAAGTAGAACTTCATTTCATGGTTTTTTGTGCTCTATCTTCCAAAGTGAATGATTTTTCATTACTGAAGAAATTGCATGGAAGATGTTTCATCATTAGGTAAGCCCCAAATTTTCAAATCCATGGTAAATACAAGAACAATAAAAACAAAAGTGAACATTACATCTTTAGAATTTGTATTCTCATAGCCAATTTTGACAAGCTTTCTTTTACTTTTTAAAATGTAAACATTATAACAATTTTAAAAGTAAACATTGGCGACTTCATATAAATCAATCTCTTGGCGAGTTTAACAAAACATTTGGCAACAACTCCGGTCCCAGTAACAGACCAGTTCCATAAATTTTTAATTCGATTTACATTCTATCACTGTTAAATAAGTGCAGTAAATTTTGCTGATACAATATCGTTGCTTAGAAGTCACAAACATAAGTATATTAATTCAAAAAATTCAACTGGCTAGGAAAAAAGCTTACCAAATTTAACATAATTATCAGGTACATTGAAACAAGCCGTATCTATCTCACATGCCAGGCAACCATCTATCTTATATGGTGCAACATGTGTTACAGGTGAATCTAAGGCAAATATATTTCCAAAAGTAACTCGAGCTTGCAAAACTCGAAAAAGTGGCACCTCTGAAGAAAAAAAATTATTTTAATTTTCTTATAAGAAATACAGTAATGATCTTATGTTTAAGAATAAACACACTTTAGTTTAAAACATTACAGATAAAAATGCCTACAGACTATGAGAATAAAAATTGAAGGGAAAAAATTAATTTTTTTAATTTACATTAGCAAATTATACAATTAGTATACTATATAGATTTCATGTTTCCTTTTATATTCTTACAATGCTAAATATGATATAAGTTAAAAAAGTGAAAAATACTTTTGTATACCTCACCCATTTTAATAGGAAAACCAGCAGGTAGTTGATGCATAATAAAATCTCTTAACTTTGCAAAATGTCGATTACTAATTGCCATTAAGTCTATAATTGGAATTAGCTGAAATAAAATTATTAGGTTAAAAAGGTCTTCTGATAAACAATAATTCAATTTCTACAAAAAACTTCAAAATTTATAACTTACATCTTTTTGTGAGTTCAAGAGTAATAAATATTTACCATATCCACCAAAGTCCTCACCTGGTTTTTATTTCTGCAATCATTCGTCATAGACATATACTTCCAGTTGCAAAAATGTTTTAAATAATACAAATACTCATGTTTTGGCATCACAAAATTAAAACAATTAAGAAATCTAACACTATAATTTTCTCGGGTACCTATATTTTTATTTCAGAAAATGTCATACTCATTAAAAATATAAAATACAAAAGGTCTGACTTCCATATGACAAAAATTAACAAATGTATTAAATTTTAAAATTTGCTATGTTTAAGGACTTCACAGTTGCAGAAAAATTAAATTTATTGTCCTCTTCGATAAAAATAAATTAAAAAGTTAAAAATAAATTAGGATATTTATTTTTATTTCCATCTGAGACCATTCAATGGTATTCCTTTGTGATTTACTAATGTACAACATTCTTATATTTATGATTTTTAAAATTAATAACTATTTGATATGGGTAATGGAATAAAATACTAAATGAGCTGTTAATTTTTTATCATGTTTTAACTGGCAAGAAATACACATAAATTAAACTTTAATGGATCCATAAATATTTAATGGATCAATGTCTGACTTCTTAATTCATTTAACACATTTCAAACAAATATTATGCTAAAATAATTCAATTACTGGAATTTGTATTTTGCCTCAATTTCTTATTTTATTATTTTCTTTTGAATATTTTAAAGATGCCTTTTTTTAATATTAGCATAAATCATATTTTTCAGTTTCATGAATTATTCATTTATTTTTTGCTTCGTTATTTTGTGCTACTTAAATGTACAGGTATTGTAGGACCTTTTATTTTTGGTTGTTGTCAATGTTTTTAATGTCGGATCTTACAGTAGTTAAAAAGAGTTTTTTCCAGAAACATCTGAATTATAACATTTTGATTATTGATTATTTAAAAAAATTCATTCCATTTCTAATTTTTCTTCCTGTGAAACGGCGACAGCAAAAAGTCCTAGACCCTATTAAGCATGCTTAGAAACTTAACAAAAATACCAAAAATTATATCTTTCAAAAACACTGTGTGATTCAAAACTTTTTTTTTTTTTTTTTTATTTGGGTGTATGAATTCTATGAATTTTTAGACGTGAGGTGCAAATAGCTATCTTTGCAGGGTTTATATTAAAATAGATATAATTAGTTCAAAAGAAAAATAACTAATAAAACAAACAGCCTACTTACAAAAACAAATCTGTAAGTTTATAAATGCAAATTACACATTTTTTAATTTTGCAACTGTAATTTACATTTTATGAATATTCAATAACACATTTTATGAATATCAAAATCATGCAGCAAATAAATTTTGTTTCAGAAACATGCATAAAAAGACAAGTACATGCATAAAACGACAAGTTAGAATGAAATGTTAGTAAAAAAAATCTGATATGTACACCACATGACTTCCTTGAACGGAATATTAAATTATACGCATTTTTTCTTGCATTTCATTTAAACTTATTAGATTGAATTAAATCTACTTCACCGACAGAGCATAAATCACAATAGAATAAATGCATTCTTTAAAATTCACTCTATTTGTTTACCATAGTGACACTCTGGCGCTAGGTTCACTTAACTTACTTATTTTACTCACTTATATTTTGTTCATATTATAACTATGTCTATGTCTCATCACTTAGTAAGAGGCAATCGGCCATTAACGGCCTTTACCAATATATGATTACTTTGACTTTTAAATGCTTGAAGAATCGAGTAAGTTGTATCCAATAATATGGAAGTACTTGTACACATGCTGTGATAGAACTCAGAGATTACTAGCAACGGAGAATCCTGTGCTGCCGTCCGTAGAATAAATAAACTTTGAACAAATGAGGTGCTCGTGTGGCACCATCTATTAGTAGGGATCAAAAGCATTTTAGTTGACTGGAGCTCTGGTTGCGCCATCTCTTGCAGGATGTATTGTAAGGCATTTTTAAAATTTCATAAAAATTATTCTTCTGATAAGCAATAATTGGCAAGAAAAATGATGAAAAACACAATATGCAGTACACTGAAACGTTTCACAAGAGTATAAAATATTTACACACAAAGTCCACCTGCTTTGGCAGGAACAAAGTCCATAGCACTTTTTAATTTGATAAGTAAATCTATAAGTAAAGAAAAGGAAGTAAAATCTTGGCTAAATAAGAAGAAAACAAAAATATATATATTACCACCGACTATTATGGTGAATAGTGCGGGACCTCTTGTGGTGTTGTTCAATTTGTGAAATCATAATTTCCTAGTTTTTTGATGATATTCTTAGGATGACTGTCACATTTCATAAAAAAGCTATGAAAGCTTTTAGAATTTCAGAATCCGTGGGTTTAATTTTTAAGTCATCGTGAAGAGTGCTGTTTCGTACAAACAAAGGCACATTTGTAATTATTCGGAAGGCCTTGTTTTGAATTCTTTGTATTTTTTCGCGATGAGTTCTTGCAGTTACAGCCCACGCTGGGGAAGCATACAGTAAAATTGGGTGGATAGCTTGTAGATAAATAACTCTTATTTAAAGAATTATCTAATCGTTGCCACATGTTCTATTCAAATACTATAATAAAGCTAGAACAATGTATAAAAGAAATTAAGCAAACAAAACAAGAAAGAAACAGTTTTCCACAGACGATTGAGTATTTCTCATTCAAATAATTCAGCTCTCACGTCGCGACAAGGCAAAAATACATAAAAACTCAAAATATCTGTACTAAAAATTACGAAGTAAATCTTAAACACTTATTTAATCGAAAAAATTCTAGAAAGGATTAAGCATGATTTAATTCGCAATAATAAATGTAGGCATTATCTTTGTTGTTGCGAAGCTGAGTTTCTCTAGATTGGCAACAAATCCACTATTCTGTTGTTTCAAATGTAAACAAGCAATGGCCGCCATGAAAAAAACTATTAGGCTTAGCGGCACTTAAACAATTTTAAAATTGTTGACAATTCTAAAAATTTTGCATACAGATTTACTAAAGGCATAAAAACCTTAACTGGAAGATAAAAACAACATAATTCAATCCTTTTTAAAGCAAAAAATGTACAATTTACAAACATATAAGAGTAAAGAAACTGAAATCACTGAGCCGGGTAACAGAGTGGATATATATATATAAATACATTTATATACGTTTGGTGCGGCCGATTGCAAACAAAATACGAGGTGCACATCTACATGTTATAGCAGTCCCATATACAAAATTTGAATGTTCTGAGGCTACTCGTTTTTGAGTTATGCGAGATACGTACGCACGTACGTACGTACATACGTTCGTACAGATGCCACGAAAAATTCTCTTCAGAATTCATTTTAAAGCAGTTTTATAATTTTTTTGGAGGAAGAGAGTCTTTTATTCTGTCCTTACATACAGATATCACGCAAAAATATTGTTAAATTGCATTCGATTGCGGTCAAAATGGATATTTTCGTTGAAATATGCTGCCTGAAATTTTTCACGATTACAATACTTCCTTTTTACTTCGTACAAGAAAGTAAAAAAGCAATTTAAATTTTAAATAAGAAAGCTATATGTAAAAAAACTGTTAAAATTTCCTTTTGTGATTTAAAGGAAAACAATAATTGTCCTTACCTGCTCCTGTAGAGATAGTGGATAATTTTCACATAGCCATATTGTTCCTTTGAATCGCTGTATTTTAGTAGTAACTTCTCTAGGGCGACCAATATCTCGGCCTTTAAGATCATTAAGCGGATCAAAATATTCTTCTGGTGTTATTAATGTAGGATTAGGGGAAATAACTTCCTACAAATGCAACAAAATACAATATTTTCAGTTACAGAAATTTTTATAGAAATCTTGTATATGTATACAATTAAAAAATACACATTTTTGTTCTGTAATGACAATTTGGATATTTCAGTTTATGACAGAGTATTCCACTGTATAACACTAACAAAATGGTTTTTAATTTACATCTTTGTTATCTGCCTCATTTCTTCACAAGGTTCACTCATTCCAGAATTCATGTAGGTTAGAAAGGCAAGCAGTTTTACTATAAAGTTAGAAGATTTATGCATAGCTGTATGTGAGTTTTGGCACTTAGTCTAATTTTAGGGTACCCCTTGGATTATCGCCAAGTTGTTTAATTTATGGTAACCTGAGTAGTTGAGTGTTATGGACACCCTACAATGGCGTGATTGTGGTGAATTTGACTGATGGGGAAATATTTGTAAGGGCTTATTTATGTGTTGGATGTTGGTCAGGAAGTACGTTGCTTATTTTGTACTTTACACCACAAAATGTCTGCTGGTGGTACGATTAACCTGAATTTCTGTACACTTTGGAACAATTGGAAATGAAAACATTGATTGACTGGTGTGTAAATGAAAATTTAAATGGCTTTGTTCACTACTCAGTAAATTACACAATGAGATTTAAGGATTTCGAAACCAGAACTCATATCAACATTATGGAAGAAATGTGATGTGTAATAAAAAGGGATTTTCGAAAGAAACACTACCAACAATATGGATGATATTTTTCATTTTTACTTTTTTGAATTAATGCGGCATTGGCAGTATACAGATTCTAGTTTAAATAATTTTAAATAGCTTTTAGATGCTGTTAAGGAATTCTGTGTGTCACACATTTCAAAGAAACAGAAATTTTGAAATAAGGTAAGTCGAAATTTCCTTTTTGTACTGTGCAGATTAGATAACATGTATTTCCCTTCTTATATTATTCTCTTGTTTGATTTCAAGATTTAAAATGCAGCTTATTGAGATTATATATTATTTTGTTTTAACTATGTTTTATTGCATAATTTTAATGCCATTTTACTAGGAAGAGTATTGGATGGAAACAGGGGGGAAAAAAATCGCAAATTTTCACTAAGGGGTACCCCGAAATATATTTTTACTGTTTTGTCTTGCTCACGTATGCTGTTTTGAAGTGTAAAATTTCACCTTCTGTTGGCGACTGATATTCATCTTGAATTAAATAGTGCAGTGCAAGGATTGATTTGGGTCAATAAGTTATATGTTTGAATTTCTGTTGCAGTTAGGACCAAGCTTGTAACATATGGTTGGATTATATTAAATTGTTTGAATTTACAGCAAGTTCAAGGAAGCTTGTATTTAAGCCAGATAAATTTAAAATTATCCTATTTCTGTGATGTTTGTTTTTTAAAGATAGAAATTCTAATGGTGATAATTCATCCCACAGAACCTATGTAGCACCTTAATTTGATAGTAAATCTGTTAACTAAGTTTAGTTAAATCCAAGTTAAGTGTTAAAATATAAATTTAAACTCGACAAATTACGATTGCTGAAACTAACATCTTTAACTGGTTTCTAGTATAAGATGTTGAAGATACAATATTTTTAGTACAGTCAAAAGTCGTTAATTCGGACACCCATGATCCGGAATGATCTATAATCCGGACTGCAAAGCTACAAACTTTCTGCACATGCGCTGCGTTGACGCATGCGCGTAAGACCTTTATGTCTGCGAATATGCTTGTGCGCGTGCGCAAAATACGTTTACGCATGCGCGTTTAATGTATAACGGATGGTATAAGCTAAGCTAAAATTATCTAATTATCTATTTCAGTTAATGTTGCAGATTGCGTTGTTCCTTAATCTTCGAATTGGATCCGGCTTATTATTTTTTGCAGACTGTTAAAGCAATTTTATAAAAGTAAGCTTGAACTTTCAATTATGTCAAATAGAATTTCTGATATATATTTATTAATATGCAAAGGATCTACAAAGCGAAAGTTTGTTTCGAAGTTCATTAAACAAAAAGTGGAATTGCTGAAAAAAATAGATAAAGGCATATCCTTTGTTTATCTAAACATTAACGCTTGTTTTATCTAAACTTTGTTTATCTTTAACGCTGCGACGCGCAATGAATTGGAAGTTGATCTATCAGCACTATCCTTATCTTCAGGGCAGATGTTTTTATTTTATTTGGCTTATAATTCCTTACTAAATGTAGTATTTCATCTCGATGTACTCCGTCTTTCATATGATTTAAATCAAATTCCTCGTCATTATAATTCGCTTCCGATAGCGAAGAAAGTGACAGAGGTTATTGAAAACGAAAAAATTTCGATTGACAAATTAGTCGGTATTCTCAACACAGCAATTATAGGACTTGAACAGCAGAACTTTGTAACTGAACAAGAAATCATGTCTGTTTATAGAATTAAAGAGAATGTATTATCACATAAAAAACAAAGCAACTTAAACAACTTACACTGAAAGAAATGTTTAATAAAGTAAACAAATAAATATTAAGCTTTTTTTTTTTGTAAATTTTGATATCCTTTAGATCATAACTGTTCTTTATTTCATAAATTACGGTTTCATATTTTTAATTTTAGAATTTCTGCATGCCATCTTACCAGATTTAAACTGATGATCTATAATCCGGAATCGCCGAAGTCCCGACGAGTCCAGATTAACGACTTTTGACTGTATACATCTTTTCATATAAAAATCAGCCACTTCAGTATATAATATGAATTTGGTTGGATATGTAAAAAAATTATCTCCTTTAGATTTATTAAATTTTTATGATACATTTTTATATTTTATGAGTATTTAAAGAATTATGCACATTTATTTGCCTTTTATCATAATATACATAAAATTGAAATATACAGTACAATAACGGTCTATTGTTCTTGTAATGGTATGTTTCTTAAATGTATCATTTTTCCATTTTTGGCTACCAATGAATTTCTATATAAGGTTATACATTCCCATTTCATCATTCCTTGAAATATCCTTAAACCAAACTAACCATTTCAAGTGCTCTTCAAGTTTGCTCCTCCAAACTAGTCCTTGATGAAGAACTAAATTATTTAAAAGCAATAGCTATTGACAGGGGCTTTTCACCCAACATTATTAATCAAGCAGTTAAAAAATTCTCATATCAACACACTAAAAGGCACACTCTTGTTTTAGGAGATTATAAAAATTCTGTTGTCATTCCCTTCTTTCCATCAATTAGCTATAAAGTTGCACATATTTTGCAGAAATTTAACTTTCGGGTTGTTTATTCTCCCATCAATAAAATTCCGAGTTCCATACTCAAGGACCCCATTCCGGATATGAATTCCTGGGGTATTTATAGGATTCCTTGCCAGTGTGGTTTAATTTACATTGGCCAAACTAAGAGAGCCTTAAAATTTCGCGTCAAGGAACATGAGGCATATGTTAGAAAAAAAGGAAACACAGAAGGCTTCTGTTGCGCAACATTGTTGGTCCGAAAAATCACACTTTCAATTTTTCTGCTGCCAAAATTATTCAAAAAACATCTTCCATTGGAGAACTGGATTTTCTAGAGGCATTCACATTCATAAAAATCTTTCTGTTCTAGTTAATGATATTAATTCCAATCCAAATTTGCCTTCGGCCTTTAAAGAAATTATGTTTTAGTTCTGGTTTCACCAACAGATGGCACCACTTGCTTATTCTTGTCCAGACTTTCTTATCTTATCATTTATTCTTATCTTGTTCATTTGCGGTTTTGCAGCTTCGGTAAAACCATTGAAACTAGTCCTGTGAAAATTTTGTAAATATAACGCTGATTTTTGTTGTTTGACTTCTGAATTAGCAAACTAACCATTCAAAGATCATGTTCATGATACATTGTTTCTGACATAATTACTTGGGAAAGAAGCCTGAAGTAAAGTATGTATTTTTATATACATTACCTTCACTGGATAATATATCTGACAACACAAGTCTTAACCGTTTCCACAATGCCCTCAGCTCCTCATCTGCACTAATAGTGTCATATCTAATGCTAATTTTCTTTGGTCAGTTTTCATTAGTTTATTTATATCTGATGAATTTCAGGGTTAGTTTTAATTTTTCATCAAGGGGGAGTGCAATGAAAGAAGACAAAAACAAAAACTAATAAAGGATAGTGCTGACGTTCACCAGGATTCACAAAACTTTACAAAAATAGACAATGAAGACATGTCAAGTCTTAAAAAGCTGTTCCAAATGAAGTAAAATTCAGCGAAGAAGTAAAAGATAATCTATTTTTTCTTTCTAAAAAGTAATGTTTCAATGCAATGTATTCCTACTGAAAGTAATAAATGTTATTTATTTGTAATATCTTATAGTTCCCAAGGTTAATCATTTTCCTATATCCATCATTTTAAATACCAATCTTACAGAAAAACAATAGATATTTGACTCTAATCCTTCATTAATCAATAAAAAATGCAGTTTATATCTTAAAAACATATTTTCATTGATCCTTCCTTTAAAATTTGTCATACAACTTCGAAGTGTAAAAAAAATAATTTACACTGACCTCATTCATGAATATTTTAGTGTACTTGGAAAAGAAAGCTGAGATTGTAAAAGATGAAAGATCTCTTACCCTGCACTTCATGTCATTCAAAATATCTAAAATAATCATTTAAATAATCATTTAAATAATTAATTACTTTATAAGCATCTTTTGCCTTTAACTCCAGTCTGTGCTTTAGTGGTGTAATTTGTAGCATGGTTGGCAAGATCTGGAATCAAGTTCTAGATCTGGAAGATATGGAATTCAAGTTCTGGTGAGGCATAAGCTGATATATCACATTTTCTGACTTTTACAAAAATTTAGATTTGAAAATAATTGTCATTCATGAATTCCAGTGATTTATTATAACTGTAAAATATTTATTGACCTCCACAATAACACCTGACTAAAATGTGGTAAACATTAATTTGCTGCCAGCTGCTGGGACGGACTGGGTCTCCTTCTTCCCCAGTCGGCCTTTAAATGGGGAAGATTATAAGTTTTTGACTCTGCTATACCTTTGAAGTAAAAGTGGTAGCACATCTGGTTAGCAATAAAAAAATGTGAGTTTTAATTATGGCAAGAACATAATTGGCTTTTCATATTTCTTGAAGAGAAAAACCCAAAGAACTTGACTAGTGGCACCGGACTAAAATGCTGTGGACAATTAGCACCACCTGGATTTGGCAATCTTTCTTCAGTAGCCCTTCAATGGGGAAGCGTATAATGAATTTTTGTTTTTATCCTGTGTTCTTGTGGTATAACTGGTAGCACATCCATACAACAATCAGAAGATTCACAACTCGGATCTTGACAAAGCCACAAATGAACTTTTTGTGCCCCTTGTTTTAAAAAGCCTAACCATCTACCAATTCAGTGTTTGATTCTCCAGTACAAGGTTAAAGGGTACAGCTAGAAAGCTGCTATAATAAAATAATTCAACAGAGACTAGAATTTTGCAGATACAGGCTACTGAAATTATAAGCAAGTTTTAATTCATTCATTATTTAAAATCTAAAGAATCAGAAATTTTGCATCAATATTTCTTTTTTTAAAAGAAAGGGTACATAAAAATTTTTATATAATGATTATAAAATTTCAATTCCTTATCTATAACAGGTACTTGACTATTTCATTGGGGATAAAAATGAAATAATGTTGCTACTTAAATGCAAGCATCCTTTGATAAATAACTTAATTCAGATTTTTTCACTTTAACTTTGCCCTAAAATAAGTTTTGCTGACTCCTGAAATTAAAGTACAGGAAGAAAAATTATGACTACATAATTTTTAAAAAAAATCAAAGTTTTCTTTGGATTGCAACTCATGTAAATTTACTATATTACTTCACTCAATTTAACGTTAATGATGATATTTCAAGTAATGAAATAACAAATAATAAAAATTACACAATTTAACATTCCATACCCCAAACACAGACATTGTATTATGACTACGCTCGTCCACTTCCATGATTCCTAAAAAAGATTGGAAAGCTGATCGATTTGCTTTATATTTCCTTTTATCACTTTCTGATAAATGTTCTGTTCTAGTTTTTGTCACCAGTTCTACATTACTAGCTACATACACCTAAAAAGAACAAACAGTGCCTATAGATTAACTTTAAAATATTAAATTTGCATGAAAATTGTAAAACTTTTCACCTTATTACACATTTTTTAAAGTATCATTATAACAATATACTGAACATTAAATTTAGATGTGCTAGACCTGAAAATATAAGTCATTTCTATAAAATAAAATATGTAGTTAACAAATATATACTTCAATTAGTGACTTTTCATTTTAATCACATTTTCAGATATTAAAAATATCTGATGAATATCTATATCTATGAATTTCTATCTATATCTATGAATTTTGAACAGATTCAAGTTACTCTCAATTTTGCTCACATTATACTATAAAAATAGCTTCAAGATAACTGATATAATCATATTTCATATCTGATTTAATTGTTATTTATTAATATATTACAGGATAAAAATTGTGAACACATTTTATCAGCTTAATCAGTAGAGCAACAAAGAATTATTTTACCCTGCATTCATAGCCATTAACAATAACAGGTTTGGAATTCTTTCTTAGTATTCCACTTTTCAGCCTAAATAGAAAAGAAAAAAAAAATTAATCAAATAAAAACCTAAAAAATTTATCTATTTAACTAAAGGCAAATCTATTTTAACAAATATCATGATATGCTAAAAAAAATGATTTCATAGCACCAATAAAACTGAACATCCTAGAAAAGCATTAGTTAGAACAAGATAGACTGCAATAATACTTTTAGTAGGGAAACAATTCTGGCAGAGGGGAAACTTAGATGACGTTTGACTCCACAGGAAGTAGAATTACTAAATTTGCTATAGATTTTTTTAACAGATGGGAGAGTGGGTGGAAACAGAAAAAAAAGTTTTATTCATTTAAAAAAAAGCACAAGGAATAGTGAAAAAGGAAAATTCTTAATTTTCTTAAAATTAAATAATCTGCACTCCTTGAGAACAACGGTTCTTCGAATTAATGAATTTCGTAGATTACAGCTCACTTCTTCCTAAGTTTTGTTTACATTTTCCCCATGTTTACACAAAATAATTAAGTAAATATTTTATGAATTTTTTAATTAAACATTACTGAATACAAAAACTGAATACACTATCAATGAGCCAAAAATGAGATTCAAAAGTAATTATGAAAGTAGTTAAAAAGGATATGAGGAATAACCAATAATATAACTAACAGACATTTGTTTCTTTGATTGCAGTTTTGAGTTTGGGAATGTTCAGTCATACTCTCTTGAATTGGTCCCCACAGGTTTCTTCTTGTTTCCCAAACTCAAAACTGTGATCAAAGGAACACGCTTTGTGGATGTTGAAGACATCCAAGAAGAACGTGACTTCGATATTGAAGAGCCATTCGAAAGAGGACTTTAAAAGTTGTTTCCACAGCTTATACAGCCGAGCACAGAAAGTGTATTATGGCAGATAGGGATTACTTCGAAACATATTAAAAGGTTACATTTTTGACATCATCTGTTCTGGTGTTATTAAAGCAATCCTGGAAATTAACAGCCACACCTTGTATATATATATAAAAGTAGCAAGACAAAACATGAAATAGAAAGACCTTAGTGGTCAAGATGAAATCAATAATGCGACATCAAACAAAGTCATCTATGCCACATTAGCAGTACTTTTCTTCTTAGGTCATGCTTATAGACTGAATTTAACAATTACAGTAAAACACATGAAAGCTATCGTCTGAAAGAAGAATATAAGTTTATGGAGGCTTTATTAAAGGAAATTGGATCATACTGTATTACACACATACATTTACATAGAGAAAATAATGAAAGCTTCCCTGCAGCTAAGCCATTCATCCACCAGGAACAGAATGTAGCATAATTATTAGTGTTTAGCAACTTTGGCCACCAATTGGCTTACTGTCATGGTTTTTGAAATTGTATGATTTTATTAAGGGAAATTGGATCATACTGTATTACACATAGAGAAAATAATAAAAGCTTTCCTGCAGCTAAGCCATTCATCCACCAAGAACAGAATCCAGCATAATTATTAGAGTTTAGTAACTTTGGCCACTGATTGGCTTACTGTCATGGTTTTTGAAATTGTATGATTTTATTTTAATTAATCAGTTATCTTAATATTTTCATTTTTTATAACTTTAACTTCCACCAGAATGCAAATTAATTTAAAGTATAAATAAGCTTCTTGACTAATTTCTAATTAGAAGTTTGCTGTAAAATATTATACGGATAGCCAGGCAAAAGTTTCTAATTAGAAGTCTCTAAGTTTGCTATAAAATATCATACAGATAGCCAGGCAAAAGTTTCTGCTTACTGCAATGTTTTCACGAGCAATTAGTCATAGGAAAAGCCAAAGTTTGTTAATTTCATATTTCTACATTTGTTTTAACATGAACTTAGGTTCCAAGCTATGTGTCTACCCACATGCTAGTTTAGTTTTTTCATGTTAAATTTTCAGATTTTATAATGATCAATTCAACATTACTGAATAATTTAAACGTTTGCTTTAATTTATGATACTTCTAGATGGAAATAAGTCAAGATGAAAATTGTTTGGCTGTCATCTATGATTATGAAGTACGAGTTAATACTTTAAGATAAATAGTATAATTGTATAAAATTATTAATGTAATGATCCAATGGATTAATAAAATGCAATTAAAGGATATGGATACTAAATTTTTAAAACAAGGCAAAATAACAAAAAAATTTTAATTTATGTGCATGTAGATTAAACCAATTTTTTATTCCACATCATTATTAACGGAATATTAAATAAACAACAACAACAAAAAAAAAAAAAAAATACCGAAGTTGCCTATATAAATTAACCATATATTATTCACCAAATATAAGACCAGAATATGTGTACGGAAGGGGGGGGAACTGACGATGAGAGCGGGAAGAGAAATTACAATGATTTGCTCAAACAATATTAATGTATTATTCTATGATTGCTTTTACAGTTTCAAACCTACTGATAAATTCACTTCATGCAGATCACATCAAACTCTGACTGATACCACACATTTCAGTTCCATTAAATCCAAAACTTTCTTATTTTTATACAGCAACTGTCCAATGCAACAACACTTAATCTAATCAGAATATTACATCTGGCTATATTAGTTCTAACTTATGGAATGCTACGATTAAATCATATTGAGATAACTATATCAAGAAACTATTTTCTAACTGAAAGAAATTATCATAGCGAATCCCAGAGGAGTACTAACGAATCCAGTGCTATACTGTGCAGAAATTTAATTAAGGAGAATAATGTGCATAAAATTCGCAGATTTCTTTGCTCCTGATAAAGAGGGATATGTACCTGTTTGGCCACAAAATCAATAGAAGCTTGACCAAAATCTACAAAAAACACAAAGTTGTTGCTTTGCTAATTTTATGTTTTACTTTGGTGCGTTTATCTTCTGTCTAGAATAAAGTGCATTTAAGAACTCTTTGAATCAATGATTCCTCCCCCCATCAAACCCTTTTTGCAGAAAAGATATTTAGATATAATATTTGGTGAATGATTTATGCACATCCTGAATTACCACCTAACCTAAACTTCCATTGTGCAAATCTTATCTTTTGCTATGCTACACATTCTCAATATACAGATACATAATATTTGATCATACAAACCTTTCAAATTTAATCTTTTCAGTATCAACATAAGTAGTAACTATCGGTGCAGCAAACCGCATTGCAACTTGTTCTGGAGATGGTGAAAGTGCAACCATAACACTCATCATATGTTGTGGAAGGATTTTCATTTGTTCCATGTAAACCTTCTTAGAATCATGGTTTACCTCCATAATAAGAGCACCATCATCTGTCAACAGAGAAAAAAATCAGTAAAATGAAATAAGCCAACTCATAAAAGCTATGGATTCAAATTTAAACATCTATAGTCAAGTAAGTTACATATATATATATATATATAAGTAGAAAATTTAAAAAGTTGTGAGACCTATTTGGTCAAAAATTGTGTGTTGAGCTCCTAATTAAAAAAATATATTGAAAAGAAAAGGAAAGTTAAAAATTAGCTAAAGCCTTAAAGTACGTTTGATGTAGCTAATTCCTAAGTTGACATGTAACATCAAGTTAAAACAATTACATTAAACGAAAGCAGTTAAATTTTACAGGAAAAAACCTATTGAAAATACTACAAAAAATTTTTTAACCTATGCAAGAAAATTGATTGGTACATTAAACAAAAACCTACTGAAAATGCTAAAAATTTTATGAAAAACTATACAACAAAATCAAAATTGGTTTGTTAAAAAAAAAACCTACTGAAAGTACTAAAAATTTTTTATAAAACAAATCAAATTGTCTCATTAAACAACCTAAACTTTTTACAAAACCGAAAATTTTTTAAAAAAATAAATGAATAAAAATAAATTTAAAATTATGGTCATTTCACTTTGTATAAGATTTCATACAGACTTATCAAGGAAAATGTCCATGAAATCTTCAACCAGAGTCATTGGCTTAATTGAAGATTTCAGGCACTTTTCCCTTGATAAGTCTGTATGAAACCTTGAACAAAGTGAAATGACCATATATTTTTATTTTAATTCATTTATTTATTTTGATATAAAATTTCCCAGTATTTTGTAAAAATTTAGGCTTTTTAACGAGCCAACTTTAATTTGTTTTACAGGTTTTATAAAACCTTTTTAGTATTTTCAGTAAGTTTTTTAAAGAACCACTTTTGATTTTGTTGTATAGTTTTTCATAAAATTTTTAGTATTTTCAGTTAGGTTTTTTAATTACCATTCTCGATTTTGTTGTATAGGTTTTAAAAAAAAATTTGTAGTATTTTCAGTAGGTTTTTTCGTGTAAAATTTAACTGCTTTTGTTTAATGTAATTGTTTTAACTTGGTATTACATGTCAACTTAAGAATTAGCTACATCATTCTCAATGCTCTACTTTGAGGCTTTAGCTAATTTTTAACTTTTCTTTTCAATCCATATATTTATATATATAAAACAGCATTTTCCATCAAATATATTTCACTATTTAAAAATTATCCTTCATATACCCACACCTTAAATTTGATATTTATTACATGGAATGTTGTAAATGTAGCATTGAGTTTCTATCTCATTTGTGAATTATGAATAGATCTGAAATAAATCATTTACATTTTGATACTTATATTATTTAGGATTATGGTAGATGTGTATACAATATATATATATATCTAATAACATAGAAAAGTTAAGTGTGCAGATGTTGATCCAGAAAGAAATACTTGAAGTCATGTAGGTGAAATAAGAAGCAGTCTCAGCAGATTTAAATACAGCTTTTTATTTGGTTGATCAAACATTTCAATTTTTATAGAATTAAATATATACCATTATATTATTTCTCAAATAAAATTTTAAAGAGAGGAAATGTCAGTAGGTTTTACTATCAGGAAAATCAGAAGCAAAGTCTGATGTGTTTAGGGAGAAATCGTAATTCTGAATTAGTTTCGATTTCAATATTGTTTGATTGGCTAATGTGAGCTTTAGTTTGCAAAACCATTTATTTGTTTGACTAGCTAATGCGAGTTTTAGTTTACATTATGCAAAAACCATATGATGGCAGGCAGATATTACTTTTGAAATGATACAGTTTAGTAAGGTTTGTTATTAACAATTACTATTTGTAGGAAAAAAAAGTAGAAATATCAAATTAAAAGAAAGAGTTATGGAACTATTGCAAATTTAAGTTACAAATTTAAGTTTAAATTAAATATTTTTTTTATTTTACACACATACACATATCTTAATTATAAATACAAGTGACCTAATCTCATGATCTATGGTTTTATACTTGGATTAATATGAAAAGATAGCTAATTAATTTTGGAAAATTCTACATACAAATCATGATATATTACAAAAATTACACAGCTGCAGAGTCACTTGAGTTAACTCTTAATCAAATATCCTAGTTACTGTTTTACAAATTTTCATTTTTTTCTGTTACAAGGATGAAAAATGTATGTTCTTACTAAATTTTACTTCCTGAATAAGAATATGGTCTTTATTTTATTAGATCAAATTATGTTTAGAAGTTATAGTAAAAATAATGTTACATTAACATGCATTAGCAATGTTTTGCTTGCATCTGAAGATTTAGCAAAAATGAAATTTACATTTTCTTTCTTTTCTTCTTCCCCCCTTTCTTTTTTCTCTATTAAATTTCACCTTCTGAACACGCACTTTAATTTCTAAGACTAGCTCTTGTTTAGAAATAACAACAAAATCCATGTTACATTTTCACACCCACAAGCAATATTTTGAGGATTTTATATAATTTACATAAAGGTTTCCCAACATTACATCCAAAGCATAAGAAGTAAAATCTTATCTTGTTTCAGGAGTAAGAACATGTTTTCTATACTTTAATATAACTACCCTGCAAATGTAGCAAAAACTGTTAGGCTTTGTTAAATTTTTCATTAATTTCATTACAACCTGAAAGGAAAAAAATGCATAACTATATGTTATAATTTCAAATAACAGAATTATTTACTGACCATGGCCTTTAAAGATATAACTTCTATTTCCTCGTTGCCATTTCGAGTGGTAGAAACCTAAAAGTGTGGTGTCAATACGAACACTAGAACCTATAACAAAAGGAAAAATGAAAATTTACATTATCCAGCAATTCAATAACATGAAAAAAGCTTACAAATCCCATTTAATATCATATACTACAACTTTTTCAATACTCAACTTAAGAAACAAAACTTTCACACTAAATTAGTCAATTTTATCACGAAGAAGCTACAATACATAAACAATCTGATGACAAAATACATAAGCAATTTCATAATATAATAAAAGCATGCAGCTTTTATCAGCTTTTATTTTTTCAAAGTGCATAAAAAGGAATTAGAACACAGCAACTTTTAAAGAGAATTTATAATTTTATCTTAAGCCTCTAAATGTAAGACACTAAAATGTACAAGAAGGGGAGGGAAAAATCACTGTAAAAAGAAGTATTATATTGTTTATAATAGGAGTTAACTGTGACTTCTGGTCAAATAATTAGAAAGCTGACAAAAAGACAATGTCTAATGGAACAAATAAAAGTCACCATTGGCTTGTACTGTAGTCAGTGTCATCGTTATCTTAGATTCTTGCAGTAAAAACATTTGGTAACTCAGAATTAATATGGATCATGAGGTTCAGCTACACAAACTCTACAACTCCCAAAACTGAAGAAAATGCGCACAATTAGTTTTTTCATGTACTGTGATTTTTGCACAGACAAGATGCGTTTTCAACTTCAGATACTCAAACTTGGTCCGACATTTTCAAGGATGCATTCTTAACAACAAAACTAGATTTCTTTTCTGTTATAATACCTTAAGTGTTATAATACTTTAAGCAGAGATGTTCCATCTCCAAATGAGCATTTCATGGCAACCTAAAATATATTACACCATACGCTCATCATCAAAGCACAAGGCATTTTTCTAACTCAAATTTGATCATATAAAATGGCATGAACTGCTAAAACAATCCAGACAGTTCTCTATTGGAAAATATACATACAAGTATTACTCCTAAGTATCTTTTTAACTCTTTCGGGATGGGTGTGTCATATATGCATTTTCTGCCAAATGTAACCGCTATTTAAATATACTGTCAGGATGGGTGTACCACATACGATTTTCTAGATAGCACATTTAATTTGTATCATTTTTTTGCCACTAGAAGTAGATCTATGTGTGTTGTGGTGGAATTTTTCATTTTTGGTATTTTGTTTCGTGGAAACTTCGAGTTGAGTAATGTAAATAAACAGAGCAATCTGTTAACTGCTTCAGTTGGTATAAACACAGAGAGATGTTCTGGATGCTTCTGAACACTTTTTTTAAAATTTTTAGCAATGAGGGATAGAGATTTTATTCATTCCTCTTAGAGTTTGACTAGCACTGAGGCGAATAGTTTGTGTATCATTAGTGAAACATTTTTTAAATGGCAAGGAAAATATAAAGTTTTCAAATTAATTCGAACAATTACCTGATTGTTCCTTTTAAAACTTGCCAAAAATTGGATCACAAATTGAATTTATGCAATTTTTTTTCTCAAGTTATGTTTAACAGCCTAAATTGCCCATCCCAACAAGCAGTGCATCCTGTCAACATGCTGTACCAACAGAGTGCTTTGGTGACTGAGTGACCCATCCGGAGAGGGAATAGGAGCAATTTGTTTTAGGGTGTAGAGGTAACTGATGATACTGGATGTGTTGAGTTTGAAGAATTTTACATGCTCAAATTCTTTCTCAAGAAGTTCTAATACAATCTCAGCACAAGAGCTATTTCCTTCAATCAGTGTGTAAAATTGTAACACAAAATTGCCTGGTATCTCATATCTGACCAGGATATTGTGAGCACATTTTCTTTGCTTAGCACAAAATAGGACTAACACTCAGTGTTTGCCCTGCTGGTTACAGCCCGTCTGTACACATTTAAACTCCTCACAATGTACAACCATCACCTACCTCATAATGCAAAACTTTGCTAATGATCTATGTACTAAATTAATACACAAATTGTGTATAATATAACAATATCTGATTTTCTTAGATTAGGTCTATTACTTGTTTATTATATTAGCATTGTTAGCAATTAGTTATTTTAATACAAGGGTATGAAAAATTGTAAACATAAAATACAATAAGAATTTGGAAAATCCCAGAAAATTTAAATATATAAAAATGAGACTTAAATGTTAAATGCAATCTGTATCATTAATCAAAGCAGCTGACTGCATTAACATATTTATTATTTTGAATTATATGTATTCACATTGCAAAAACAAATTAGAATAACAAATTAATGTAAAGCTAACTCATAAGCATGCAAATGTTTAATTTAAATTGTATTTGGAAATATACTTTTTAAGATGTGTACCTCATGAAAATATTTCTTGTAGAATCCTAATGCTACATGAATAAATATTATACTCAGAAGCAATCTGTGTTTCAGTTAAAAATGCCTTTCTGAAGGAAATCAATGTATGCACAAAACATTTGTGATTTCTTCAAGATAAAAATTATATCCAAGTCAGTAACTTATGCAGATATGTATTCACATATCTGCAAACTGTGTACAGCACTAGGCACAGCTTGACATTAGTTGATATTATGTAACAGCAACTGATTTTGTTTCATTTAAAAAGCAAATAAATGAAAATAGATTATCCATTTCCTTTTTTAAAAAATCCTCATAAAAGCATTATAAAACATTAATTTTAAATTTCAGGGAAGGAAGAAGGACATGCAGTGCAGGATTTACATATAAGCCACACAAGCTTTAGCTTAACCCTTTGTGGCTCAGTGTTCCACTACATGGAACACCCAAATTGAATCGCTTCTGAAACCTTTAAATTCAATAAATAGATAAAAATGCCTTTATAATATACTTTGAACTTTTCTTTTTAAACAGTAGATTGCAGCATATCACAAGGAGACACAAAATTTTCATTTATTATGTGTTATTAAAATCCACTTTTTTTCAAGTAATTTTCTCTATTTTTTTAATGATATAAAAAATTTTATTTGGAAAAAAAATTAGGCATAATTTTGCTGGCTGTACTCCAAATTATCTGTTCTATATTTTTTTTAATCTTTCATACAATAAACATACGCAGAATCATTGAATAAAACCGGGTGTTCCATTAGCAGGAACACTGCACCTTTAGCGATCTCATGCTGTTACGAATCAGAACATCTGTGCTTAGGAGAGAACATCTGTTGTTTACATTTTCTGTTTCCGTTGTTTGGGGAGGATGAATTCAAACAAAGCAGTATTGAGGGGTGAGGTGTGTTTTGTGTTACAAAAGCCCTAATATTAGTATCTCGAATTTTTTGGGAGTAGTTTTTAGGCAGGAATTTTATTAGTACTTGACTCATCTTTACTTAGACCTGCGTGAATTTTCTGCTGTCTCTTTTTAGTCTCATTCCCGTTTATTTTCAATAATTGTGTAGATATTTTTTGTGTATGTATATATTATAGGCTTACTTTTTCTTTATTCTTGATATTAATCGTAGTTAAATATTTTAATTGTAGTTGGTTTGTGCTTCCATCAAAAAGGTGTGACTTGCTTTTAACAATTTCACGAAGCTCAGATATAGAAAAATTTGTAAATATTTTTGTATATAGGTCTTGTGTATATAGATATTTATCTCATTTATCCATATATATTCAAGAATATTGTATATATCCAGGAAACCATGTATACAGCCATAATACAGAGTTTTTTCATTCTTATACAAACGCTTCTACTCATTTTCGTGCTTCACTGCAATGTTCGCTTAGCCATTTGCCAGAAAAGACCAGTTTCATCAGCACTGTAAATTTGTTATGGAGATAACTTTTCACTATTAATGAGTTCAATGCATTCATCTGCAAATAGTTCAGCAGCTTCAGTATTAGCTGAAGCGTTTTCAAATGAAATTTTTAATTGCCTTATATGATGGTGATTTTAAAATTTGTTTAACCAACCTGTCGAATACATGCACTCGGGTTTTAAGTTCATTTCTTCGTGAAATATTTTAGCTTCAGCCATTACCAATGGACCCGTCAATGGTACACCTTTGTTGCAATGCTGTCTGAGCCATTCAATCATCACTTTGTCACGATTGTCACTTTTAGCACACTATTACTTTGTCTGTTCAAATTCAAAAAGTTCCTTTTTCTGTTTTCTTATGTCATATATAGTTGACTTTCCAATGCCATACTCCTTACATAATTTTAGACAGGTATACCTTTATCCGTTTTTTTGCAGTAATTTCACTTTTTGTTTAATGGACATAAAAACAAGCTTAGAAACTCTTTTTGACATAATCAAAAGTTCAAACTTTAATTTTTATTAAATTATTGTAATAATAAAAGACTGCAAAAAATAATAAGCTGCATCAAGAAAGTTAAGGAACAGTACAATCTGCTATATTAAATGAAATTCCTTGGAATCAGTATAATTTTAGCCAAGCTTAACAGCATCAACTATACATTACTGGTTATGTATCATGAGATTGGCGATGAAAGACAAGTTACGCTATTCTGTCTTGCTTCTATTACGCAATGATACAATTAAGCCTTACATCTATTTCTTGCATATGCTTATCTGAGTCCTGAATTAATAAATTCACACATATACTAAAGCCCTCGCTTAATGCAGCGAGGGCCGCCACTACCGCCTGATGTAGTCTGTGCGGGTCCTAAATTCTGCTACCAAGCATCTACCTAAGTTCTAAATTTTTGCCACCCCCGCCTAAATTTTAGGTCCCAGTGCTTGAACCCTGAAACTTTTGTCATCTCTTAATTTTGTTGCTCAGTGCTTTAGTAAACTCTAAAAATTTTGTCTTCCCTAAATTATGACACCTGGTAGGGCCATACGAGTTCTGAGCGCAGGTTCTGGCTTATGTGAATAACAAATCAGTTATTCTTAATTAAAATAGCATTAAATGTAATCTTTTGGTCTATGGGTATCATAATCTATTTTTAAAATCTATATTTAAAATCTATTTTTAGTATATGGAAAGAGATTTTTGTCAAATGTTTCCTCGTCAATATTTCTTAGTGCATTTAATTTAAATCTGTAATCATCGGCCGAGCATAATATCAACATGAAAGGTTACCATACTTTTTGTTATTCAATTACTAATATTAAAAAAAAAAAAAAAAATTAGGCATCGCTGCACGAGTCATTACTCAAGTTGTCATGTACTCACAAACATGTGGTGATGAAAGCAAAATGTAATAAATAATAATTCACCAGGTTGGCATCAGGAGTATAAAATATTACGAGGTGTAAAATCAATGATGTTTCCATATAGAATGTTTTCGGTTTGGGATGTATGCCAAGCCCAAGCATATATGCAGCTATGGAACCAAATTACTGATGATACAAATTTATGCTAAAATGATTGTTTCTTCAATAACAAGGTATTTTATTTAGTGCTGTAGTGAAAATAAGAATCAGGACGCTTCACATATGTTATTATTGGGGGGTAATCAAATGCACATGTGTAAAGAATACAAATAAAAAATCCTTAAAAAAAATGCTCTTGGTGGCTCTGAGGTCCGGATTTTAGATCATTCCAGATACCGGATATCCAGATCTTGAACTTGTTACTGCAATAAATTATCATTTAACAAATTTGAAGCTATTTATTAAAACTGAAGGAAAGAAAAGAACTATTACATACCACATTTGTATACTTTATAAGTATCACTGGGGCACATTCGTGACAAAAGCGGAACTGGAAAAAGAAAAAATTCACATTGTGATTCAAATATATAATCAATCAGTATCATTCAAACATATAATAATTTCATAAATAAAATTTCTTTTCTTTTTGAAGTCACTGAAATGGTAATGTATTAAAATTAGTGATAAGATTTAATTAAGAATTATTAAAGCAGATTTATATGATTTAGATAATAATTATGATGTTACTGAAATAATAATAGAATGCTTAATGTATTAGCCCATCAACCTTGAAATTGTTGCCAAGCAGTGCAATTTAACTCCATTTATGGATAAGTGTAACATCACAATACATTCATAACACCTGCATTCTGACTTGATGTAACCTCGATAATCGAAAATTTTCGCGATTACACTTTGTAAAAAGTCCCATTAGCAGCTGAGCAGTAAAATCGCTGAACACTGGTAGTTCGGTCAAACTTTCAAAACCCAGGGAACTGGCTGGCTGCATGGATATTTTCATGATTTTCCACATGTGTATCATGTATGGAGTATCTTCTGGATGCATACATGAATAAAGCAGGCACAGCCTGCGCAAAACCGCTCAACACTTGTAGCTCGATCCAACTTTCGAATCCCGGCGAACGGACGGCCTCCATGTGTGTTTTCGTGACTTCACGCATGTATATCGTATGCAGTATCTTCTGGATGCATATATGAATAAACCGCTGAACATTTGTAGTTCAATCCAACTTTTGAATCCCGGCGAGTGAGTTGGCTGCATGGGTGTTTTCGTGATTTTAAGCATGTGTATCATGTATGGAGTACCTTCTGGATCGTACGTGAATAAAGTGGGCACAGCCCGTGCAACAGCACTGAAAACTGGTAGTTCGGTCCAATGTTTGAATCCTGGTGAACAGGCAGGCTGAATGGGTGTTTTCATGATTTTTGGCATGTGCAACGTGTATACAGTACCTTATGGATGCATATGGAAATAAACCAGTTAAAATTCACGGAAACTGGTAGTTCTGTCCAACTTTCGAAACCCGGCAAATGGGCTGGTTGTATGAGTGATTTTGTGATTTTCCGCATGTGTAAATTGTATGCAGTATCTTGTGGATTCATAAGTGAATAAAAAAGGCACAGCCCGAGTAAAATCGCTTAAAACTGGTAGTTCATCAAAACTTTATACTCCTGGCGAGTGGTCTGGTTGCATGGGTGTTTTCGTGATTTTCTGCATGTGTAACGTGTATGCAGTATCTTCTGGATGCATACGTGAATAAAGCGGGCACAAAACCGCTGAACACTGGTAGTTCGGTCCAACTTTCGAATACCAGCGAAATTTAACATGGGAACTGAACAATTAAAAGCGGGCTTCAGCCCGCTAGTATGGTTGAATAATAATTGTTAGATTTGCTTTTTAGGCAATCAAAGGAAAATATCCCATATTAATTTATTTACTTTTCTGAAATATTATTTTTTATGTATATAAAGATATACCAGCATATAATAACAATTTTAGATCATGAGAAAATGGGAAAAAGCCTTGCAATACTTTGTTTTTGTATAAGAAATAACAGTATTTTTTTAATTTTCCAGACTGAATAATTAAATAAATTATTACTACTAAGATACAATTAATAATTTCTTCCCTCAAAATATCTATTTAAATATACTACTATATGTATATGGGTGACTGAATGCATACAAACTGAATGGACTGAATGCACACAAAACTGATGATACCTTAAGAAAATTTATGTCCTTGAAAGAAACGATTTATAGTTCTGGAACTTTTCACAAAATTACTTGTACAACTTTTCTCAGTATGATAGAACACAATCAGTAGTTATCACTTCAAATGACAAAGAGTGAAAGTTGGAAATGCAGAAGTTCACACAGCGATCTCTCAATACTCTGAGATAAATTCAACTGAAAACTGATGCTCTCTCTGTGGTCTTTTAGAATTTACCCAATTACAATTTCCAGTACCTTTGATTTCTCGAAATTGCTATAAGGCATATACAGTTGCAGTTACATAAGCGCAGATACAATTACAGTTACATTGGAATTGAGACAGTTACAGAGATCGAACCCAAATATGTTGTCAAGTTTGGCAACAAAGATTAGTTGCCAAAATCATTGTCAGTTCAGCACTATCTCGCTAAATTGGCAAGACCAACCATTTACCTTTATGTTAAATGAACTTACTCCTGTAATCCTATTTTTCCAGCGATGCTTCAATTTCTGAAGCCTTTCAGGTTACATTATAATTTACATACATACAAATTCAATCACAATATTTTTAAAATTCAAATAATCAACTTCTACAGTGTTAGTTATGATTACTTAGTTCAGACAAGTAGTAAAGTGTTAATAGCAGAACAGATTGTGAACAGCAGAACAGATTTTTCTCCCACAAATGAGAGAAATAATAATAGTAATGAAATGTACTGATTTCAAGCACACAAAATCTAATCATTTTATATCTGACAATCTACAAAAAGTAAGAAATGAGTAAGAAAAACGAGTAAGAAAATGTTAGCAACATGATATACAGGATATTATTATATCAAAAGAACAAAATTTATAATCCTTATGATACAAGATTTTATTCTGAATTTTGTTGAATGTGAAAATTATTTCAGAAAAAAATCTGATATACATACCCCAACTGATAAATTCCCATCGTATTTCAATATAAAAATCTGGAGTCTGCAAATGATTTAATACAGAAAATTATATAACAAATGATGAACACATGCACAAAAGTTATAACTTTTATTTACACAAAAAATTAATTTTTAATAGAGACACATATCTGTCATTTTAATACATTCACAACACATATCCTGAATACCTAATGCTAAAACAGAAATATAATGAAAAATTTTAAAACAGAATTACACAACACAATTATAATGAAAACAGAATTACACAACACAATTGTAATTGAAGAAAAATACTTTTTCTTCAATTTCTGTAATATATTTTACATTCTAAACTTACCTAATGTTAAAAATCGACATAGAGTGGATCTATTCTAAATCTATTATTTTAATAGTAACTTGGATTCTCCAAACCAAAGTTTTGAATTCACTATTTCCAAATTATTATAAAAATTTAGTGTTAATACAACAGATACATTATTTTGGAAAAATTTCTACTTCAAAGAAATTCTGTAACATTCGTACTATAACTTTCACCAAATTTAATGCTATAAGTATGGAAGACTTAAAATTACAGTCAAAAGTCTTTAACATGGACTCGTCGGGACTTCGGCGATTCCGGATTATCGATTTTTCCGGATTATAGATCATCAGTTTAAATCTGGTAAGATGGCATGCAGAAATTATAAAATTAAAAATATGAAACCATAATTTATAAAATAATGAGCAATTAAGATCTAAAGGGTAACAAAATTTACAAAAAAAGAAGCTTAATATTTATTTGTTTACTTTATTAAACATTTCTTTCAACGTGCGCATGCGTAAAGCATACCTTACGCATAGGCGAAATTAGAAAAATTGCAACGAGAAAACCATTTGATTTGTATTCATGATATTTATAATGACGAGGAATTTGATTTAAATCATATCAAAGACGGAGTACATCGAGATTAAATACTACATTTAGTAAGGAATCATACGCCGAATAAAATAAAAACATCTGCCCTGAAGATAACGATAGTGCTGACAGATCAACTTCCAGTTCATTGCGCGCCGCGACGTCCCCCCCCCCCCGCGCAGAGCAGCGTGAAATTGATAAACAGATTTCGGAACGGTTAGATAAACAAAGGATATGGCTTTATCCATTTTTTGTAGCAATTCGTTTTTTGTTTGATGGACATCGACACATACTTTCGTTTTCTAGATCCGTTGGCAGCTCCAGCATTGGAAATTCTATTTGACATAATCGAAAGTTCAAGCTTACTTTTATAAAATTGCTCTTACAGTCTGCAAAAAATAATAAGCCGGATCCAATTCAAAGATTAAGGAACAACGAAATCATCAACATTAACTGAAATAGATAATTAGAGCTTATACCGTCCGTTATACATTAAACGCGCACGCGAAAGCGTATTCTGCGCTTGCGCAAACGCATATGCGCAGTCGTAAATGTCTTGCGCGCATGCGTAAAACGCCTATGCGCATGCGTCAACGCGGCGCATGCGCAGAAAGATTTTAGCTTTGAGGTCCGGATTATAGATCATTCAGGATTATGGGTGTCCGAATTAACGCCTTTTGACTGTATTTAACAGCAATTAAGTTAATAAACACACATATTGGTTAATAAACACAATTAAGTTAAACACACATACATTGGTTTGGTAGTGAAAAAATTATTTGTGTTTTACCACTTCTTGAAATAGTACATTATATTGAATATTTCAATTTTCAATAGTAGTAAGAACCCATGGAACTGTGGTTCTAGACATTAAACAATAAAACACATGAGCAATACATGTGAAATTTAAAAATGCTTACTGATTGTACAGATCGTTTATGTTAATTATTTTTAGTATAAAGAAATAATAAAAAATGTAATTTGGATAATTTCCTTATACTTACACCTTGTATCTTAGACAGCAAATCAGGAATACCTATTGCTCGTGTACTATACCGTTGAAAATCTCTTTTCTCTAGAACTTCTTGAAGCAGCTGAGGATTTTCAGTACTCACTGCTTCATGAACAACTATAAAATAAATTTTATTATTAAGGAAGTAACTTTTGCTTTAAGTTACACAATTTCATCATACAATACAACTACAACATTCCTTTGTTCATGAGTGAATTTAATTACCTGTATATCCTTGTTTATTCTCAACAATTACATCTGCACCATGCCTCAAAAGAACTCGAGCTGATTCTAAATGATTCAGTGTTACAGCTAGCATCAATGGTGTTCTGCCTCGAGGATCTTTCTTCTCAATATCATGCTGAAAAGAGTGAAACATATAAATTTATGATATTCTGTTTTAATAATTTTTTTTTTATTTTCCCTCATAAGAAATTATTTCACAATTTTTAAAAACTTGTTGTCCTGTATAATATGTTTTTAGCTAAATTTTCAACATTAAGAGTGAAATAATGAATTTAACAAAAAAATCATAAATTTTTTTTCGTACTCATAAATAAAGCAAGCACACTGTAGATTTTTTTTTCCTGCCAAATATAAAACTTAACTTTCTTTAACCCTTTTTTCCTTCTGAACCAAAAGTATTATTGATTTACATAATATATATATGTCATGTTTTAATGAATAGATGAAGGAATCTAATACTTTAATTTCAGGTCTCCGAAGACACTTTATTGCATAACTGGAAGGATGAATGCATAAACCAAAAACTTCCACATATGGCCGTTTTGAAACATAATTTTATTGCAGCGGATAATTTACATCAGATCATTTTTCTGTAGATAAGATATTTTTCAATTATAGTTGAATGCAATGATTTCCATGTACACGAGTTTTAAAGTACAACATCACCTAGGCAAATAAGCAGCAGCGTGGATGATGAGCTTCTTGCCAGAAGGAAAGTTAAAGCGAAAAAAGGATATAACAATTTAGAAGGGAGGGAGTGAAAATGTTTCAGTTCCGAGTTAGAAAAAGTTTTGGTTTACAATTATTTGATTGGGTAGGTATCTGCACTGAGCGTTACATAGGATCGCATGATTAATTTGAATGATGCAGTTTAGACTTATAGCACTATTTTTAAGACAGAGAAAGAAAGTCCCCAAATAAAAAAATGAAAGATGTTATAGCCAATTAAAATTAGAAGTTTGTTTTTATATTTTTTATCTTACATATATATGTGTGTATGTGTATAAATTTATGTAAATCAATAAATAGGTCATTTTTGCACTGTGTGGTATTATGGAACATAGTTTTTGTGCATTTTTCTAGAAATATGTAATAAGAGACTTCTTTCATGTACTTATTGAAAATCATCACAGGACAGAATCTGCTAATAGTCCCTAAGATTCATATCACTTAAAAAGATATTTGATTAATGATAAATATCTCTACTTTCAATATAAAGAAATCTTTATTAAAAATGATTGTACAATCCTTAACATATCAAAAACTTTCAAAAATGTTCCACAAATGTGATGAAATTATCTGCTTGCATCTGCATCAGTTTGGGAAGCTCATTAAGTGTGTCTCATAGAATTTGCCAGCTAGGAATAAATTTTTAATTTTCTCTTTCTGAATTGGTGAGACAATGCTTTAAAAGTCATTTGAAGAATGTACCATCATATGAAAAACTTATCATCAATGACATGCAGTCAAACTTCTATTCATAAAGCTGCACAATTAATTGCACAAAATGCCTCATTAAACAAAAAATTTGTCCAAAAAAATAATGCAAAACTATAGTTCCAATAAACATTTTACATGATGACATATCATAAATAATCCTAAATACTGTAACTAAAAATAAAATAATATCTGTTGTAATATAAATCAAATTTTACACATACCATATTTCCTCACATATCCCCCCTTTTTTTACTAATTTTATCATCTGAAAATCGAGAGGGAAAAACTATGCAAACAATTAAATTTCTGAAGGATGCAATTGCAGTAACAACATAACAAATGAAAAGTAATCATGGATAAACTACAGGTAACTATAACACTATAACTTCTCTATAAGAAACCCATATTCCATTAAAAATATATAGTAATGATAACATTACAATATTTAATAAGATAACTTCATCTCGACTTTCCTATAATTTGAGACTTGCCTATTCTTGTTGTCTCTGCTACTTCATAGGCTTCAAATCATCCATAAATAATTAGAGAAAGTGAAGAAAGTGAATTTATAGCCAATTCAAAGAAATCATAAACTGAATGTCAGTTCGTGTTTGCTTCATTGTGATTGGGGTCCCTGTATTAGGTATAAGGGAAAGGTTTGGTTTCACCTTCATGATGGTTTGGATTTGTCTTTTTGTTAGTAAGCCAAAAAACATCAACATGTGAATGAAACCATTTTAAATTTACAGCTCATACTCTGAAAACACTGAGGAATGGGAAAACTACAAAAATATTTTTAAAATTTTCAGAACTTGGTGCTAAAAAGCTAGGGGGGATATGCAAGGGGGGAAAATATACAAAGAAATACATTAATGTATACAGAAGTACACGTGTCAATTTCTCTGAAATGGGATTTTGCATTTGTCATGCAGGAAAGAAAAAAATATTAAGTCCTTCTGAATTGCTCATTTGAAAAAACATTTTCTGTGATAACCCATATTACATGTTTCTAAGGTGTGTAAAACATCTTCTGGCAGGTACTTTGGTATTATAGCAACTACTCTGGAGCAATTTGGTGATTTTTTGAAGAAGAAAAAAATGGTAATTTCAAAGAAGAGAAAGTTATTTACTTTATATCATGGATATTATAAGGTGCATATTTTAATTTTATTTTGATACTTATTCTGGAAAACAATTTATAAAACTACTTACAAATTTTACAAATTTATAAAACTCCCACATATAATTATTCCAGTTTATAACAGTCTTACTGGACATTTTTAACACTTCCAAGCAAAATTTAACACTCATTAATTCTTTACTTCAACAGTACATAAATCTTACTTGCTGTAGAGAATGGCAGACACTTCTTGAACCAGTTACCACTTCGAATGTATTTTGCATTACACCTTTTCATGCTGCATTTCCAAAACAGTTAGTTGTTTTCCAAAATATATCATCATCAAATGCAAATCTGAATATTCCCATGTTTGTTGCAAAATATTATACTCCTGCAAAAATTTCACAGAACTTTCTTCCTTTTCCGGCAAATTCTACAAGCACATATTTCAAAATTAAGCTAAAAACCAAGAATGTCACAATTTGCTTTCAGAGCTTCTAACATACCGAAAACAGCATGCACAAAAATGGCAACGTTGCATATTCCAATTTGCAGTTATCGATATGGTTACCTGAAGAATTGTTAGGTGCATGGTTGCCACTGTCTGGTGTCTTCTATAGATTTGGCAATTTCTACCAAGGTAGTTGCAACAATACCAAAGTACCTATATGTAGTGAGAATAAGGATACAAATATTGGTAACTGTGGGTACTTTGGTGTTATTACAACTACCTTCATTTTCATCAGTCATTTAATAACTGTTATTAATACTATCTTCATCAGTTAGACTTTCTTAGGTCTCAACATTATTACCTGTAAAAAGAAAACCCTTTAAGCATTATTGGTATTAATTTGTTCACACTCTTTCAACTATTGTCATACTTCATTCCAGACACTTGAAAATTCATCTTAGTTTTTTAAATCACTTTGTGAAGATACACCATCCACATTATTATCATTTTTGACAATGAATCCAGCTTTTCTGAAATAACTGCAGACTTTTGCTTTGATCACATCCTAATTCCATACTTTTGAAAGATCAGATATGTATTCACATAAATTTACTTTATATATACATGAACCACTCTGAATTTCCACCATTACTGTCTTCATTAATTTTTTGTGAAGATAAAGTTTGTATCATTCCTTGATCCATCTGAAATTTGAAAATGTATTCAAGAGAAGAAAAGATTTTTCACATTCTATAATTTTAGTTAGTTGTCTGAAAAGGGTAATCAAAGGAATAATCAGTAACCAAATTAATTTTATAGTTTTAAATTAATTCTATAGTTCCGTGTAACCATAAAATAAGCTGGTCACAGTACCCATTTTTTGAAAATTTCAGATGTCATTTGATATTGAAACTTCTAAGAATTTAATTCTTTTTAAACATGCTGGATTTTTTTAGCTGAATGAAAAGTAAAAGCTTCAATTTCCCCCAGTTTCTATTCTCTGTCATATTTATATATAGTACAATTACTCTTAGCTCCAAAACATTTCTTTAAAAAAAAAATAGACAAATATTAATTTGGTAAACATTAGAAAAATATGTTAGTATCATTCAGTTTGAAGATATCTTTCGGTTCATGCATTTTAGATGTCCTTTCAATGTACAATTTTGACATTTAACTCAGTTGCTTATATATGTGTCTTTATATTCACTATATATTACTTGGTTTAATCCTAGTATCTGGTGCACACGGGATTTGGCTACTTTTGGCGACTTTTATGATGAGCAGTAAAAACAGGACATATACGATGAGTAGCAAACGGGTATTCAAAGAATATATATAGTTATACATAGTATATACTATGAATATAGTGTATAGTATACTATCACTATATATACATAGACGTTCTTTTGGTAATTTTTGGTGTTGGCGATAATTTTCAAAATCGCACCAAGGCTGCACCGTATGCTAGGATTTTACCTATTACTGTTGCAATAGTTCCGTATCTTTTACAAAAATTTTCAAACTGTTCACTGTTTGCATGAAATTTACTGTAGTCTATTGCTCTAGAAAATTCAACAGGCTATGCCACTGTCAAATACCCTGTGAGTAGCATTCTTTTAATCTTATACCATGCTCAACTACTACCAAAAAATATTGGTCATGTCTTCATGAAAATACATTTCACACAAACTGAATTAGAATCATAGCTTGTCAAAATTTTATCCTAATTTGTTTATAAGTTTTCAGAGTTTGATAAACTGCCAAACTTGTGAGTTTGATAGATTGATGGACTTTTAGTGTTTGATAAATTGCCAAACAACAGTCTTCTTCAGACCTTTATCCAACACTTTAAGGATAACCTGGAATTTTGTTCTTTAGAATGTATGGGAATATTTTGAAGTTGATATTAAGCAAAACATGACAGATGAAACTAAAAGGAAATAATTTAGGTTAAAATAACATGCAGAACAGATATTAATTTAGAAGTCAAACAACAAAAATCAGTGTTATCTTTGCAAATTTTTACAGGACTAGTTTTGATGGTTTTACCAACCCATCATCCTCAGCAAACTTAATTAACCAATAATAAAGCTCAAAACATTGGAAAACTTTCACACTGAAAATATTTGCAATTAGAAAGCATGAAATCAGATATGCAAAGCACAATATCAAATAAGAAAAATTAAAATGTGTAAGCCATAAATCCCATTTAAAAAATTGGAAAAACACTTACTGAAATTCATACAATCATAAAATGGCAAACACACCATGTGGAAAAAAGAAAGCAAAAAATAAGCCCGTTTGGGAGCTCCTATAATTTAGTAAAAAGGAAACACAGAAGTCCTCTATTGCCCAGCATTTTTGGATCCAAAAATCACACTTTCCATTTTTCTTCAGCCAAAATTATTCAAAATACATCTTCCATTAGTGAATTAGATTTTCTAGAGCATTTCACAATCAAAAAATCTTTCTGTTTTAGTTAACAACCCTAATTCTAATCTATCTTTACCTTCAGCCTTTAAGGAAATTAATTTTAGTTTTCTTGTTTCATCAATAGATGGCGCCAGCAGCTTAATTCCTGTTCAGACATTCTTATTTTTTCACCATATCTTATCTGGTTCATTTGTACTTTGGCAGCTGAGGTAGATGTTTCGGTAAAACCATCAAAACTAGTCCTGTGAAAATTTGCAAAGATAACGTTGATTTTTGTCGTTTGACTTCTAAATTAATAAAAGGAAATAATAGAAAGAACCAAGTTTCTGCAAGTCAGCAAATATCATCAACGTTTTAGCTGCAGTAAATTTTAAATTAAAACAAAATAATAATAACAAGAGCTTGCAATTCAAAGATGGTAGATTATGATTAAAGACCCTAAGGAAAAATTTACTATTAAATTTTCTTAAAACATGTGATAAAATCTTGAAAGCATTTTATATCACTTTTTAAATTAAAATATCTCTCATTATCAACTCAATGTTGAAATAAAATTTTAACTTGTGAGAAGCTGAACAAGACTAGCAAAATCCAAGGATTTACAATATGCAGTATATATGTTTGGCATTTCACGATAGTTTTTAAAAATTAACTACATAATATGTCAAAGAGTAATTTTTATAACTGTTAAAGTTTATTTAAAAAGCATAAATACAAATCTAATTACAGCTTCTGAGCAATAAATTATGAAAGTCAGTGTTAGTTCGCCAGTTTTCAAGCAGTGCATTAAATTTAAAATGTCTCATGAGTTGAATAATTTAATTATTTTTACAAATCATATTTAATATAAATTTAAATTTGCTTTTGACTAATGTGATATGTTTCTATGGAGTTAAAATTTCAATTAATGAACTGAAGAATACTATTACTGGCTATTCAAATAAGTAATGGCTGTTTTTATACGAAACCAAGACTACTGCATCAGCTTTAAACTTCAAATGTAATTTTACTACAAGTCAGGGAAAAAAATTAAGAATCTGATTTGCATAAGATTGTCAATATGTACATATGAGAAGAAAACTAAACATTAGCTAATATACAAGTATAAGGAGGACTTGAACTAAGTCTCAAACGAAAGAAAATAAGGGGCACAACGTGATGGCATTTAATAAGGAAAGGGAATATTATGACCTTAAGCACGTTTTAAAATAACCGGTCGCATGTACGATCATAATTTAATTGCAATAATCGAAACGTATTCATATGTAAATTTCTATTAATATATTTTGACATAATAATTATATTCAGATTTTATAAAAAAAGCATGATTATATTAAATTCTGATAAAAGTACTGATTAAAGCAAAAAATACTTTCAATAACTACATTGATCAAAACTTCTCTTAAATATAACTTAAAGTAATTCAGAAATTTAAAGCAACACATATAGAAATATTTCCTTGAATATAATTCATTTTTAGCTTCAGAAAGACGGGAGGCATGCTGTTAATACCTTCAAATCAAATAAGTGTTTTAATTTATCTACATATATGCTTAAGGTACATTTAAAACAGATAAATTCATAAATTATATTTTTGCCATGTATGTAAATTTTTTCATGGATAATTCTTTACGGAGAAACTTAGATTTTTATAATAAAACCACAAAAATACATGAGTTTCATACATTTATAAATTGTTAACAAATGTTTTAGATTTTTTTATTTATGCATTTAACATGCTGCTTCTGGAAACATCATAACATCAAAATTTTAAAGGTATGACATTTTAAACAGATGTGTTAGACTTTTAGACATCACAATTCTCTTTTTTTTTTTCTTTTTTTTTTTTTTTTTTACTTTCACATGAATTTCTCTCAATACATAAACTCTGAAAATTGATTGGCATTATAATCATATTTCTCAATTTAAGATATTAGCAGGATGTCAGTGAGTCTGATGAAATTCAATCAGAACATTAAAACAAGCTAAATAATATTTCCTATCACTGCAGCGCCAAATCAGGTATTTTTGACACATTAATTAATTAGAGAGGATTTTTTTAATTACAACTTCCAGACTTTCAGGGGGCGTTCGTCAAATATTTCAATTTCTCAGAAAAGAAAGCTTTAACTAAAATCATAGACTTGTCAGCACAAGAAATATATATCTATGTAACTATACCTCAGATGTTTGTAAGTATCTGTCAAGCTCTTTATAATCATTAAACCAAACACACAAATGAAGCGGATACTCTCTTTTGATCCGTTCATAAGGCATGATGCAGTTTACAATTATTCAGCTCGAAATAAATCTATACCATATTGTATTAAAGAGAGCAAAAGTCATAAAAACACCACTACTAGCATTTGTATCATGACATGCAGCTTCTCAGCAGCACACAGCTTACCGCCGAGCAAACAGACATCATGGGGTTGAGAGCTTTTACTACTCGTTTACTTATTATCACTATTTATTACTTTATTATTATTTTATTACTATTGCATGCGGTTTCAACAGTAAAAGAACTAGAATAAATATGTCCAGCAGGATAAAAAAAAAAGAAATTATTCCATAAATTCAGGATTCTTACAGCAAACTCCTTAGCTACTGGAAGCACATTAATTATGTATATAAATAGGTTTCTTCTTTTATGCATTTTAGAGCTTAGTTTGACACTGATTGTCATACTTAATGTCTCATTAGAATAGCCAATGTAATTAGTACATTTGTTTCAAGGCATACGGTCATTCTGTCGTCTTGCATGCCGTATTAGTCATTGCAGATGTTACAAGTGCAAGCTAATGGAGGCGTAGGAGTCAGGAAAATATGAACTCATGGACATACAGGCTTTGCAAGACTTCCACGGGAAATGAAGGTGAAAGAGCGAAAGGTTACATCAACAGTGATTGCAAACATTTTGCAACCAACGGTCTCTCTCTGCAGAATCCTATGAGTGCCAGTTTCATTAGCTGTATGCCTATGAAGCTGCTGTACGCCTAGACAGCTGTATGCCTATGAATTACACACACAGACACACAGATCGTATTTTATTCTCGAGGGTCAAGATGCGGAAACATCTTTTTACAGGAATGCGGATTATTTCAGAGACTGTCCTTGGCACTACAGCAACGTCACCATAGACAGCTAAGACAACACGAGAGCATATCCATGTTGTACAAGGTGTATTCGGAAACTAAGTAGCGTTTTGAAAGAAAAAAAAAAAGAAAAAAAAAAAAAAAAAAGAAAAGAAAAGAAAAAGAAAATAATAAAACAATTTTTTCGAACCCAATTTTATTTTTATATGAAAATACATGTCTTAAACTATTTTTCAACATAGTTTCCGCCAATGATCAAACACTTGTCATAGCGGGTGACCAGTTTTTGTATACCATCGTCAAAGAAACTTCCCGCCAGTTTCGATAACCACGACTCCCCAGCATTTTTCGTGCCATCGTCAGATCCAAAGCGCTTGCACACCAAGCTCGCGCTTCATGTGCAGGAACAAGTGATAGTCGGACGGCGCCAAGTCCGGGCTGTACGGCGGGTGATCGAACTGCTCCCAATGAAACTGTCGAATTAACGATTGAGTGACACCAGCAGTATGGGGCCGAGCATAGTCATGGAGCAACACAATTCCTTTACTGAGCATTCCTCATCGTTTGTTTTGAATGGCACGCCTTACTTTTGTTAAAGTCTCATAATATCGTGCTGCATTAATGGTTTCACCTCTGGGAAGAAATTCAGTAAGCAAAACGCCTTTCCTATCCCAGAAGACAGTGCACATGATTTTTTGTGATGACATTGTCACTTTGAACTTTTGTTTTTTGGAGAATGAGTGTGTCTACACTCCATCGATTGTTGTTTCGATTCTGGTGTGAAATGACACACGCAAGTTTCATCACCTGTCACAATTTGGTTTAAAAAGTTTTCTCCCTCATCACTGTACCGCGTGAGAAATGTCAGGGCTTTGTTTTGTGAACATCAATGAGCATTTTTGGAACCCATCGGGAACACAGTTTGCGATAATTCAAGCGGTCAGACACAATTTCGAACAAAACAGTACGTGAAATTTGTGGAAATGCCTCTGAAAGAGTTGTCATTGTGAAGCGTCTGTTCTCATGAATTGCTTCATCAACTTTCCTTACCAAATCATCGGTGACAACAGAAGGCCGACCACTCCGAGCCTCAGCGTGGACATTTGTTCGACCTGCATTAAATATTCTTACCTGTTTTCTCACCATTCCATCACTTATCGCGTATTCACCGTAAACTTCTGTCACTTGACGATAAATTTCGGCTGGTTTAACATTCCTCGCGTTCAAAAATTTAATCACGGCACGAATCTCGCAGTCAGCGGGAGAACTAGTTATCATTGTGAAGCATCTGTTCTCATGAATTGCTTCATCAACTTTCCTTACCAAATCATCGGTGACAACAGAAGGCCGACCACTCCGAGCCTCGGCGTGGACATTTGTTCGACCTGCATTAAACATTCTTACCCACTTTCTCACCATTCCATCACTTATCGCGTATTCACCGTAAACTTCTGTCACTTGACGATAAGTTTCGGCCGGTTTAACATTCCTCGCGTTCAAAAATTTAATCACGGCACGAATCTCACAGTCAGCGGGAGAACTAATTGTCTTAAACATTTTGAATGGGCACAGCAAACTGAAAACACAACATAGAGCAACCAAAATGGCGACAATTGAAAGTCAGTGAACCAGAAAGACTAGTGCGCATGCGCGGGATGATTACCACAGCGCTGCGACGGCGCTAGAATGAAACGGTACTTAGTTTCCGAATACGCTACGTATATGACAGCCGGTAATTTTTAATAACAATTTTTGCTTTTATCTTGGTACAACAGACCACTGCATCCACGTGTGGAGGCAATGCGGTCAGCAAATTTTACATGTCACTCATCTAAACCGTATTTAGAGCCTATTTATAGTAAGCCTGTATTTAGAACTATATTTAGAGTCTGTATTTAGAGCGATTTCATACAATACCCAATCCCAATTAGTCTTTATCACAAGTACATTGGATAGCCCAATGGTATGCTCATGAATACCCTTGCTATTCATGAACACCCTTCTCAGTCCCTCTCTACCAACAGGCCAATTGTTCATCCAAATACTGCAGACATCTCAAGGGTTTCCTTTGCTGCTTTCTTTCTTCTGTGGTCAGTAGCATCAGAATACCAGTCACGGTGGAAACCACTGGAGATCTGTAGAATACTCTGTAAAACTTTGACGCTATCATAAAATCCGCAAAAATATTAAGACAAGAGTCCAATCTGTTCGAGATGACCTAACTAAGGCTCCTTTAAGACTACATCGTGATGCGTAGCAGAATGCAGCAAATATAATTGTCCGTTGTCTTGTCAAGCTTTAATAACGCTTTTGTAAATTGTGGGTTAAATATTTACATAGTATCCTTTTTAATCATTAAATTTTAATTCTCATTTTTTAAATTTTTTTATTTATTTATTTTATATATATCAAGCAAGGTAGTAATTATAATTTTTAAAAAAACCAATTTTGGTCTAGAAAACATCTTGCACAATATGCTATATATATATATAATTTATTTCCTAAACAATATTGATTAATTGATAATATTATCTCCTAAATTTAATTAAGTAGAAATATTTTAAAAGAGTGAATCCATACTAGTAAGTTATATTTTGAAAGATGTTTTGAAGTAACTTGAAAGTAAAATGTTAAATCATCATGAAGAACAAAATTTCATTTGTAAAAGGAAAATTAAATTAAATGCATGTAATCATTGTCTTTGATCTTAAATTAGTTGACTTTTCAAGGGGAACAAACCAACTCCCGTTCAATGAACAATAATTAAAACTAATTATTAAATTAAACTAATTATTAATAATTAAATTAAATGCATGTAATCATTGCCTTTGATCGGAAATTAGTTGACTTTTCAAGGGGAACAAACCAACTCCCGTTCAATGAACAATAATTAAAACTAATTTCCGATCAATGACAATGATTACATGCATTTAATTTAATTTTCTTTTTACAAATGAAATTTTGTTCTTCATGATGATTTAACATTTTACTTTCAAGTTATTTCAAAACATCTTTCAAAATATAACTTACTAGTATGGATTTACTCTTTTAAAATATTTCTACTTTAATTAAACTTAGGAGATAATATTACCAATTAATCAATATTGTTTAGGAAATAAATTATTATTAACTTACTTTGCAGCAATTGCGCAAGTAATAGTAACTTGTTTTCGCACTAAATGCATTTAAGATCATACCACATTTGATATATATATATATATATATATCAAGCAAGGTAGTAATTACAATTTTGAAAAACTAATTTTGGTCTAGAATATTGTCATTGGCTAACTTTTCTCAAAAACAACATTTCAACGTAATACTTCTGGATACAACTTCTTCTCTTTTTTTTTCTTTTTTTTCCCTCCTTTTTCTTTTCTTTAAAGTTTTTACAGTGAGTGTAAATTGGGTTTGTTTCGCTTTGCAAAGCTTTGTTTCGCATATCCGTTATTTAGTAAGTCCTCTCTATCTGCTCAGTATTGAAAGTGAAGATTTGGCATCTGTTGTGACTATGCAGAAAGCTTGACTGTCATATTTTTTTAACCATTCAAACAGTTCTTTGGAAGTAATCATAATATTCTTTTAAATCATATTTCAGCTTGAGTGAACTTCTGTAATTAAGTGATGTTTTTCTGCAGCAGTTGCATAAAATAAATGCCGAGCTATATTTTCTTTTATCGGCTTTCTTTGCAATAAAGAAATTTTTTTCGCTTTATTCCAGTAAACGAAAATTATAGCAAAAATCATCGAAATGATGAACCGAGTGAAAGCTAGTATTCTTAAAGCGAGGAGAGGGGTTATCTTTACTTAGTAAGTGGTTCTTGGATTTCTCTTAACTTTCTTGTAACCGTATTTTATGTATTACCTACATTACCCTACTTCTGCATTTTTCTCATACAAGAATTTTTGTTAACGTTCTAGAATTTTTAGATCTAGACAAAAAGGTCTGTCAAGTATCCCTAACAAACAAATGTGTTATGATAAAATAAAAGCCGTTTAATGAAATCGCGGTTAATATTGTCATTCGGATTTCGTTATCAAACTGCCGAAGTCCTATCCGTTTATATATGAATGCATGGAAAATACATTGCGTATTGTGATCAACATTAAGATATAAGATATGTAATTAATAATATAATCAAATAATTAATAATAATTAGTAATATAATTAAATACAGCCTGGTGGCGAAGTGGCTAGAGCGTCGCGCAGCTGCATCACAGGTCTGGGATTCAATCCCCGGGGGCGTAATGGCAAACCGCACATTGAGTTGAACAATGTTAACGAATTTC